ACTTTTGTGAGAATCACTTTGGACATGGCGAAAGTGAAAGAGACAAAGAAGTAGTCAAAGAGAGTCAGAGAGATCAGAAAGAGGAGTGGAGAAAGGAGAGAGGAGCACAAGCAGATTATGGAAAGGGGAAAAGAAATGGGAGAGGGGGGAAGAAGGAGGAGTAGAAGAATACGGGGTAGAGACTCGCTTAGCAGCTAAGACTAAAGGGGCTAACAGATAGAAATGAATCAAGGAGTGAGATTACTGACGGTAAATGTTAATGGTCTCAATGCCTCGACAAAAAGAAGATGTATTTTATCCAAAATAGTCAAAGCCAAAATGGATATAACATGTTTACAAGAGACTCACATCAAATTGTCACAAACAAATTTACTGAAATGCCCCAAGGCAGGGAAACTATTTGTAGCGGCTTCAGAGGAGAGGAAAAGAGGAGTAGCTATATTTGTAAAAGAACATCTCTCACCAAAACAATTATTTGCAGACGAAGAGGGAAGAATACTAATATTAGAGGTGGAACTATTACAAAATAAGGTACTATTGATTGGAATCTACGCCCCTAACACTAAACAAATCTCATTCTTCCGAAGAATACGAAGAGAAATCTGAGAACTGGAATACGAGCAGGTAAGTCTTATGGGTGACTTTAATGCAATTATTAACAGGACACAAGATTATAAAACAGGGGAAAATACTAAAAAAGGACAAGATAAGAGGATTTTACCAGCCATTTGCAAGGAAATGAGAGACGAATTAGGACTGAAAGACACCTGGCGTGATCACAATCGGACTATGGAGCAATTTACTTATTACTCTTCCAGACATAAATCGTGGTCCAGATTGGACATGATTTGGATGTCACAGGAACTCAACTCCCAAATAGCAGAAATTAGAATTCTACCAAATGACTGGGCGGATCATAATCCAGTTTTGGCAGTGTTAAAGGAAGAGGGGAAAAATAGAAGGAGATGGATGATGAGAACAGAGATTCTAAACGAAAGCGAATTTACACAAAAACTGAAGACAGAAATAATCCTTTTCTTTCAAGAAAATAAGACACCAGGAATGCCACTACAAATAATTTGGGATACTGCTAAGGCTTTCATAAGAGGTCTTATTATAAAACATATGGCCATCAAACATAAAAAAGAAGAGCAAGAAAGGGGTGGAATATTAAACAAAATAAGAAAAGCTGAGGAACAGCTACAAGATAATCCACTATCCAGGGAAGCAAAAGAACAGATAATATTGCTAAAACACTGGCTTAATCTCCTAGAGCTGGACAAATTGAAAGATAAGATAAAAGTAGCAAAGCAAAAACTTTGAATCAGCTAATAAATTAGGAAGATGGCTCACTTATAGACTTAAAAAAGAAAAACAAAACAGACGAATTGACCAGTTAGAAGATAAGGAGGGAAATTTAATAAAAGATAAAAGAGGAAAGGAAAAAATTGCAGTGGATTTTTATAAAGAATTATACAAAGAAGAGACTTTAGCAGGTGCGATAAAAATTATATAGAGAATTCGGATTTACCTAAAATACCCAATTTAACGAAAGAAATATTAGAAGAGGAAATTACCTTAACGGAAATTGAAAGAGCAGTGAAGAAACAAGGGAATCTGAAAACACCTGGCACAGATGGACTCCCGGCGGAGCTATATAAGACAATGTTTGAGGTAATGGGAGAACATATGAAAGATCTATTTAATGAAGTTCTGGGAAAAGCAGAAATTCCCCATTCATGGAGGGAGGCCAATATTAGCTTAATTCCAAAAGAATACCCCCCCTCGACAGACATAAAAAATTACAGACCAATATCTCTTCTGAATTCAGATTATAAAATTTTCACAACAATTTTGGCAAATAGATTAAAAAGTTTCCTGAATGAATTTATACATACTGACCAGAACGGGTTTTTACCATCACGTCAAATACGAGATAATTTGAGAGTCATGTTAAACGTATTGGAATATTATGAAGAGCATCCAGGCAAACAAGTTGCACTCGTTTTTATAGACACCCAGAAGGCTTTCGATAGGGTTAACTGGCAGTTTATATTACTACAGCTAGAACATATGGGTTTTGGACAGAGATTTATAAATGCAATCAAAGCTATTTATTCTAACAGCCAGATTACTGATAAATGGGGATTTAACAGAAGAGTTTTCTATTAACAAAGGCACAAGACAGGGCTGCCCCCTCCCCCCCTTACTTTTTATTTTATCATTAGAAACTTTACTACGAAAAATAAGGAATGAGGGAAAAATAAAAGGCCTTAGAATAGGACAACAGTATATAAGACCCAGGCCTTTGCAGATGACATGGTTTTCATCCTGGAAGAGCCGATAAAATCCTGCACATATCTATTAGAGATGTTTGAGGAATTTGGGGCAGTAGCAGGATTATTGATTAATAAAAAGAAAACAAATTTATTAACAAGGAATATTTCAGAGGAAGATAAAAAAGACCTACAGGAAGTGACTGGGTTGAAAATAGTTAAAAAAATTAAATACCTGGGAATTTGGTTATCTGGTAGATGTTCGAGTATACAAGAAGATAATTACAACAAATTATTAACTCAAACAAGGAAAGATTTGGACAAATGGAGTAAAATACAACTCTCACTTCTGGGACGAGTAACAACAGTCAAATCTTACATCTTACCAAAATTTAACTTTCTATTTCAAACTGCCCCAGCGAATTTATCCCAAAAATTTTTTAGGGAATTAAATCAAATAATAAAACTATAAAATAATAAAATAAAAAAAAATTGGGTACTCAATCCACTTAGACAAATGGCAAGGGATATGGGGGGAGAATATGAAATTAGTAGTTTCTACGGCATACAAAGAAAACATTTACAAGATGATATATAGGTGGCACCTCGCCCCTGATAGACTGGCTAAAATGTTTACTGGACAATCGGCTGATTGTTGGAAGTGTGGGCTAGAAAGAGGCACTTACTATCATCAATGGTGGACATGCCCGGAAGCAGAAAAATTTTGGGGAAAAATAAAAAAATGGCTGAATGAGATTTTAAATCAAAAAATCGAATTGTCACCAGAGACATGCCTGCTCGGCTCCAAACCGGATAAGATTAAGAAAGATTTATAGTATTTAGCCCTTCACATTATCACAGCAGCGAGACTAATATACACTCAACTTTGGAAAAATCAAAATATCCCATCAGAGGAAGCAATTATAAAAAAGATTTTGGACTGTGTGGAAGCAGATAAATTGACTAAAAAATTAAAAGATAGAGACCAAACACCAACATGTTTATCCTGGGAAAAACTATATACTTGGCTAGAGAAGAGAAAATCATAACCCAACCAAAAAGAGGAAAGGTTGTTATGGAGAAAACTATATTATACAAGGAAAGTGAGGTCGGTTAGACCTAATTGATATATAAAGAAATATGAGTTGTTCTATCTCCCCTAGAATGTAATACTATATTGAATATATAGTTGCTAAGGTGCTATCTGCACCTATCACTTGTTTGTTATTTGTAATGTTTTTTGTGTTGTATGTTATTTATATGGTGTGTTGTTATCTTTTGTTTGTTTTTAATGGAAAATGTAAATAAAGGTTATTTTTTTAAAAAAAAGAATACCAGCAAATAGCCCAAATCTGCAAAGACCAATTTAAGAACGTTTAGGCTCCAAAAGAGCAACAAATGCCAAAAATAAGTTTTTTTTCAATATATAAGCACCAAGAGGAAAGTCAAGAAAATGATTGGTCGACCTAGTGGGTAAAGATGGCCAGGTGACAGGTAACAAGAAAAAAGCAGAACTGCTTAATTTCTGACTTTACATCTGTTTTTACACAAAAGGAAAAAACAGTCCAATCTATCAAAAGCAGCACTATGGGAGACAGAACAAGATAGGCGAGAGTGCCTGTCTGCTTTTGAGGAGCATTTACATCCCAGGTTTTTGAAGGAGCAGCAGACATGATTTCAGAACCACTGATCCGAATCTCTCTGAGCACCAGCAGCACAGGGGAACTGCCAGTGGGCTGGAAAAGAGCTCATGTGGCTCCAACCTCCAAAAAGGGTGAAAAGGAGGTCTAGGAAACTCCAAGCCAAAAAGCTTGACATCAATACCTGGGAAAATCCTGGAAAAGATATAGTAATCAAGCAGGTGGTTTGTGAGCATCCAGAAATGAATAAGGCGATTCCTGGAAGTCAGCGTGCATTTGTTAAAAGCATTTGTTGTACCAAATAAACATTATTGCCTTCTTTAATAAAGTGATCAATTAGCAGATCAGGTTAATGCTGTGAATATCATATACTTGGACTTCAGTAAGGCATTTGACAAAGTAGACCGCAGCCTACTTCTTGGTAAGATGGAACAACGGGACAGGCGGCATCACCACCCGATGGATTGGTCAGTGGCTGACCAACCGCAATCAGCGTGTGGTTCTCAGTAGAGCTGGATCTACATGGAGAGAAGCTTGCAGTGAGGTACTGTCTTAAGGCCAGTACTCTTCAATATTTTCATAAATGTTTTAGCTGAGGGGATAGAAGGGGAACTCATCAAGTTTGCAGAAAACAGTAGGTTGGGGGGAATTGCTAACACTTTGGAAGATAGGCTCAAAATTCAGAAGCATCTTGACAGGCTTGAGCATTGGGCCCAATCCACAAAGACATACATCAGTGGTGGGGAAAGGAAGGTGCTGCACTTAGGCAGGAAAAAGATGCCCAGATACAGGATAGGCTAGTCCAGGCTCAACTGCAGTGCCTGTGAGAGATCTGTGTGTGTTACCATTTGAGCTGCAGCTCTCAAAAAAGCCCCGATTTAAAAGGCCCAAATGCCCACAAAGCCAGAGGCCTGCAGCAGGACGAGACCCACCTGGGCCTGGCTCTAAAGCCGAGGTGGCCCAAGGTGGCCTGGGTCGGGCCCTCCTGCCTGCAGGGGGAAGCGCTCGGTCTGTCACCCAGGTTTTGGAGGAATGTGCAGGGTTTTTGCCCCATTTCAAGACAAATAGTCAAAGAATAACAGCCTTTGCGTTTTCTTTCCAGCTACAGTAAAATGTATTTCAGTTCTAAAAGGTTTACATTTCATAAAAATCCTACAATCCCAGTTTTCAAATAAGTGCCAGCAGCAACTCCTTAACGTTGCAGTGAAGCGCACAGATCCTAAGAGGCACTAGGAAAATGGGGCAGCAGCCATCGGCCGTGGCATAACGACACAGACGTCCCTGCTGGGAAACTGGCTCCATCCCGGCTCTTCTGTGCCAAAGGGAGGCAGGGCTCTTCAGAGGTGCAGCAAGCCGAGCCAGGCCACTCTGGAGGCTGAGCCTGGAGTGCCTCACGATGCACATGGAGGTGCTGAAGCAGGGACCTCAGAAGTCACAGGGCGGCCTCTCACAAGGAAGGCGTTCTGCACTGCTGGCCACTGGCCAGCCCGCCTGCTGCTCAGCTGACTTTGAGCTTGGCTGGACCTGGAAAGAGAGAGAGAGAGACGCGCATTCGAATGCAATTCTGCCCCCCACCCCCACTCAGCAAAGACGGAAGGTGCCCCTCCCAGGGTTCGGGGGGGGGGCTCCTCTTGCCACGGGGCCGAGAACTCTTGCAGAGTTAATCCTGGCCAGACCCCAAAGGTGGTGGTGGGGGGGGGAGCTGGGTAAATTCTGTCTCTCCAGAGGGGCCTCCCCCCACCAGCACAAGAGACGTTTGCTGTGACAGGAGTCTTCCAGCACCCCAGAGACACACGCACCCCTTCAGGAGCAGAGACGATGAGGAAGAAAGCAGCCCTCACCTGGACCGGCTGGCTAAGGCCCACGAGGGACCGCAGCGCGTTGCTGTAGTACCCCAAGAGGAATTCTCCCCCCAGTTTTGGGAGGCCCTCGGCCCCGAGATAAACCTGCAAGCAAGGAGGCCGCCATCAACTTTCAGCAGGAGCAGAAAAGCAGCCAAGCAGAAGAAAGTCCCGGGAGCCGTCCTTCACCTGCTTGGCCCCGTCCTCGGAGGAAATTTCATTGTCCTGCACCCAAACGTACGTGACGTAGTCATTCACATGTCGGAAGGACACCTGCCAGGAGAGAGGAACAGCTACAAGGGGAGCCCACAGGCCCACCTGCCAGCACAGGTAAGGGGCTCCCAGTGAGAGGGAGCAAATGTCCAGACCAGCCATCCCTTCAGGAGGCTGAGTGAGAAGCAGCTGCCAGGCCAGACGGGCCCCACAAGGGACCATTCTCCCTGGAGCCCATCATGCTCTGGGCAGGCAGGAGCCTTTCCCATCCTTTGGGGGTGTTAAAAACGGGAAGAGGGTCTTTCCCGGCAGAGGCTGCTGCTCTGAGGCAGCCAGCTTGCTCCCCTTCTTGCAAGACTAAATGGGGGGGGGCACCGCAGCCTCTGCTGAGGAGGCTGGGAAAATGACCTCTATCTGGCCTCAGAAGAGCCCTGGTGCCTGGATAGCAGAGCAGGGCTGGGCCAGGCCTGAGCACCAGCCTAAGCACCCTCCCTTCTGCACCCCTTGTGCCATTTACCCTGTAGAGACCAATCCAGTCCCAGGCGCTGCTGGTGAATTCTGGAGCGGTGACGTAGCTGACCGTGGCGTCCTGCTCAGCACTCCAGGTGCCCACCGGGCAGAGCACAACCAGGGGCTCCATCTGCAGGGGCTGCACCTGCAGGAACAAAGCCACCCAACCCAAGGTGAGAAGGCCAGGGAGCATCCCCACCCTGGAACCCAGCCAGGCTCTGTTCCTTCTCCCAAGGCGCAGCCACCTTGGCACCCAGCCTGCTTCACACTTGGGGTCACAAAGGCCCTGCTGTCAGGCTAAGAGGCCCACCCTGTAAACCAGGACAAAACAACAAACTGGGATTTAATATGAGTTTCAGCTTACTAACAGGCTTGCTTCAGTATCGTTTGAGGCTGCAATTCCTCCCTCCGCCCAAAGGCTCGTCCAGAGGAGCGCCAGCTTCGGCCAGCCCCTCCCCTGATCAGTCCTCTCGGTCAGGTGGCACCAGTCCTCCTTACATCCCCTTGAGGAAAGGAATCCCTTCCGTTCCATCGGGGAGCTGGACCTGGGGATTGTACTTACTTTGCTAAGGCTGAGTTTTAGTGTCGGGGTTTTTTTTTCTGTTGAAGGGGGCTGCTTCTTGATAAAGGTGCGTCAGGCAGAATCTCCATAGACAGAAAAGTTGCCAACAACCCACAGAGGTCCTGGGGGCCATACCTGTGGGGGAGGGGAGTGACATGCAGCCCTTGGGCCATCGTCAGTGCTTGCCTTCATGCAGGGTCTGTGCCCAGGCAAGGCTGGCTTATTCAATCCAACCTGGTTAAGCAAGCCACAGCTTGGCCTGAAGTGCGCATGGAGCCCCCAGCTCGGACATGCAGGACACTGTTCCTAGCTGGAGGCTTCAACAGGTGCCCCTTGGAGACCCTGCAGCAACCACAGAACCGGTGGCATCGGGGAAGACTTCCGGTTTGGCGTCGTGGTGATACAGTCGGGGAAATAGCAGGGCTCTCATGAGCCCTGCAAAAACCCCAACTGGCAAACTGCAGCTGACAGGTCTGCGGACTGATCCTGTCCTGAAGGGACAGGGAAAGAGAGGGACCCCTTGGGTGGCTGAGAGGAACAGGCAAGTTCCTCGGAGGCCGGAGGCAACCCTCTGAGTCAGCGACGGGGGACAGCAGCCATGGCGGCTGCCATGAAACCGCGACAAATCGGGACAAGAAATGCGCAGGAGGAAGGAAGAAAGGACAATGTGCTTCGGAGCGGGATGAGTGACACCAACCCAGGCGAGAAACAACTTGTGAATAAGGATATTTACAAATAAGACCTCCAGCCTTACCTAGCGGCTGAAGATCTGAGGAGCTTGAAGATTTTGCAAAATAAGGAAAGGAGTTAAAGACCCTTTAAAAAATTTACTTTAGCACTGATTGATTGGAATGAATTGCTTATTAACCAAATAGAGCTGGATATTTGAATTTTCTTGTTAAAATTGAAATGGATTTGACTTTTGGAAAAGAGAAAAGTGATAATTAAGGATTTGGCATCTTTAAAAGCCAGACAAAGAGATTAAACGGACAGCTACATAAATGTTTCAAAATGGCGACTGAAGCTGTGACTAAGTGAAAGTGTTGATTGCGGAAACTTGTTTTTTCCTGAAAAGAACCTATTTGACTTGTTACATATTGTGGATTACTTTGAAAAGAACTATGGTTTTTTGAACTTTGGAGATTGCTATTCTGTCTTCTAATGGCTTTACAAAGAAAGAAGAAACACAATGGAACTAATAAACTTTTAACTAACTGGCGCAGCAACAAAAGGTCTGGCGCAGGAACGGAAGTGGAGAAGCTGATTTACTGGAAACAGACTTTACAATAGAATTAAAAAGGATATGCAGAGTTTTAAGCGTGGAAGTATTGACTTTGAATTGAAATGCTTATGGACAGATAAGGAAATGAAGAAGCAAAATAGATAAGTCAGATAGCAATGTTTGAATGCTTAATTGTTAAATGGTTCAAAGTTTAAGTGAGCTTTAAATAAAAACAAGATGTGCTTATGGTATAATATAGATAGAAAATAAAAAATAAAAGATAATTAAAATAGAAGTGGGAAGTTAAGGTGACTAAAAGTGATATCTTCATAAAAGCATAATTTGATGTAACATGTTTTAGTTTTAATTTGATAACAAAGTGGTGGATGATAATTATGATCAATTGTTAATGATTATAGATGATATAATAAGGTACACAGATGAAAGTAATAACTGAGATTGAATTTAACACATGTTGGAAATGATTAATATTAAGAAATAGATGGGGATACACCCTGGAAGAGTATAGCTGGAAACAGTGGATTAATAGACAAAATATTGAAAAAGAAAATTTTAAAATAATTTAGCAGAATAGTAGTTGGAGTTATGGAGGAGAATATGCTGAAAACTCAGCCAAAATAATGTAATGCTGGAAATCAGCCAAATAGGTGGATTTATGGAGGAGAATGCTGGTAATCAGCCAAAATAAAGCATGCTGGAAATCAGCCAAAACAATGGAAAATGATGGAAATCAGCCAAATAATAGTTGGAGATGGAGAATATGCTGAAAACTCAGCCAAAATATGTTATGCTGGAAATCAGCCAAAATAAGAGAAAATGATGGAAATCAGCCAAATAATAGTTGGAGTTATGGAGGAGAATATGCTGAAAACTCAGCCAAAAAATATTATGCTGGAAATCAGCCAAACAATAGGTGGAGTGATGGAGGAGAATGCTGAAATTAGCTAAAATAAACCATGCTGGAAATTAGCAAAATAATAATTGGAGGTATAGAGGAGAATACATTGAAAAATAATTATTAATAAGGGGTGAAAAAGAAAATGTTGGGCGATAATTAAAATGAAATGAAAAATTCTGAGATGTCTGTGTAAAAGTTTAAGATTAAAAGATTGGATGAATTGGGTCTAGAAAACTAGACAAATAAAAGAAATTTTGATTAATAAATTGAAATAAAAATTGAGTTGTATACATTTGGAAATTAAGATTCGTGGTGATAAAATTGTAAGGTAAATATATAGATTAACATATTAGACTGTTTTTGTGTTTAATATTGATGTTAAAAGGAGCAATGGAAAAAAATTTAGACAGAGCGGTATTGAATTTTGATTTATAATTGAATATAAAAATGAGTTTTGCTTTAGTAGGAAATTAAGATGTATGATGAAATAATAGAAAGACTTAAATTAAGATGTTGGAATTTATGTTAAAAATATCTGTCTTCATTTGTTAAACTAGTATAGTTATTTGTGATTGGACCAAGACTTTGTTCTTGGGGGGAAAAAAATTTGTGTTTCTGTTTGAGAAAAAAATAAAAAAAAAAATAATAAAAAAAAGAACCGGTGGCATCGGCTGAGTTAAGGGCAGGATGTCCTGCTTCGTTTTAGAAGCCAGTGGCAGCAATGCCCAGGGCGGGTGGGAAAGGCTTGCCTCGGGATGCCAGACTTCTGCAGCTGGGTGCTAAGGGGACAGACCAGCAGCCGGAATCATCATCTCTCCGGAGAGGAACAGCTGCCCTTGGGGAGCCAGAATACTACCTTCAGCTCAAAGGTGCCAGTGACCGGCTTGTGATCGCTGATGTTGTAGTCCATGTGGCTGGTGTAGCTGCCCAGAGACAGGGAAACCCCTCCCTCCCTGGGCTCCTCCTTCGGCTCGGAGCACGGAAGACATTTCACTCTCCAGAGGATCCGATCAGTCCAAGCGGGCTTCCGTTTCTTCTCACTGCAAAAACAAGGGGAGGGGGAGTGGTGGCAAGGACAAAGGCCAGCTGGCTCCCTAGGGCAGCCCAAGCGGCCACACACCTCCACCCCGAGCAGAAGGAGAAGCTCAAGCCTCAATCCACTTTGCATTAAGAGCTGCACTCAGCAACTAAACTTGGGCAGCTTTTTATCCGAAGGGGCCACCCAGGCAGGAGGGCTGCTGGTGCATAAAAAGCCCCTTCTTCCCCCAACAGCTCAGAAGCACTTTGGCCACAGGTGTGACAGTTCTGGATCCAGAAAAGGGCTCGTTCTGAAGGAAGCTGCTGCTGCTGCTGCTGCATCTTTCCAGCCGGTCAGTGCTCGGGTGGCAGAGTGCCTGGCTGAGCACCTTGGGCTGAATACCCAGCGGTGCGAGCATGCATGACAGACACCTACATTAACTTTTTAGCTGCTGCTGTTGCTATTTTAAATGCTTTCTGGGTCCTGCCTTTTGCAGTTATTTGGGGTTCCTACCGGCAGTTCTTTGTGATCACTATCTCTGGGGGATCTACCCGTGCAGCCCATAAACAGTGAGGGGACGGCCGCTGCTGCCCCGTATGCCTCAGGAGGGTCAGAAGCTAATTAACACGCCAGGATCATTACCCCAGCAACAACCAAATCAGAAGAGGCGACTGTCTGAAAGTCAGCAGACTCACGCAGCCCAAAGCTCCAAGATTTCCAAAACTCCCCACATGCAGGGGTCCTTAGTTAGACCCAAGCAGCGCCTCTTTGGCTCTGCAAATAGAGAGAAGGGGAGAGGGGCAGCCAGGCTTTGCCAACCAAGACATCCCCTCCACATGTCCTGCTTATGCTCGGGCCACTTGGAAGCCCTGGTGATTTCTCTGGCTTCTTCTGCCCAGCCAAAGGCCAGAGCAACAAACATCTTAGTCCGAAGCCCCCCACAGACCTCCACAGTTACCTGGTGTCATACTCATCCGAGTGCAGGTCAAACTTGTAGGTGGGTTTGAACTTCAGGGGACCTTCTGAGAACTCCTGGAGGAAGAACATCTTCTTCTTGGCCATGTTTAACTGGGAACGGGAAGCAAGAGCCGTTTGGTGCTGCAGGCCAAGCGCCGAAGCCACGGCAAAGAGCCTAACCCTAACCCTAACCCCAGCGCCCTTCATTTCCCAGGGCAGAAAGCCTTGCAAGCAGCTGCCCCATCGGAAAAGAAAGAAACCGGGGGGGGGGGGGGGGGACGGGGGACACAACACCAGATGGGGACTGGCTACACAGTATCAGGAAGTAAAACCAGCCACTCCTCCCCATTCAAAGGCTGAGGGATCTGGGAATCCCAAGGGGAGGGCAGGCCGGGGTGGTGGTGGTACCTGGTCCTTCTCCCAGAGAAGGTTGAAGCGACTGCTGCTGATTGATTCTCGGATAAAATGCAGCCCATAGTCCTCGATCCGGAAGTTCAGATCACCAAACCAGAAGAGGAGCCTGAAAGGATGCAGATAGCAGCAGGGAAGGGACGGCCCCTCTACGCCCTCCTTGGCTTCTGCCAAAAGCAACCGACCCCCAGCCCCTCTTTCCTTTGCCACAGCATGATTTCATCTAAGCAGGCTGTCAGAGCAACAAGCCCTTCCAAAAGGCTGGCGGCAGTTCCCAAGGCGGCTTTCAGAAGGGCAGCTCCCCTGGCAATTCCTTCACTCAAGCAGGCAGCCCCCGTTCATCCCAAGGGCAACACCCTCTCCTGATTTTTCTGTGCTGGCCCCATCCTCCCCACCACCACCTCTGCTGTTCCTTGGCGTCCCCCCCATGAGACCAAAGGGGCCAGGGGGGGCACTATTCGCAAGAAGAGTAGCTGAGCAGCCGTGGGGCCTGCCGGCTGGACTCCCAGCCTCACTGGGCCGGGTAGCAGGACCCTCTGGGGAGGCCACTCACTCGTGGTCCAGGGCGGAGGGGAATTTCTTCTCTTCGAAGTGCTGCATCTCCAGGATGTGCTCAAAGTCATCCAGGCGCTGCTTGGCGTTCTCCTGGTGGGCTGGCAAGTGGCAGTTCAGGAAGCAGACCGAGTGGCCATAGAGAGACAGGCGGATGGAGACCCCTCCCTTGTTGCCCTACGAGACAAGAGGCTGTGGTTGCCTCCACACTCCTGGGCTCCGTGGGGCACGAGGGGCACATTTTTTGACACTCTGCCAGGTTAAAGCCCTGCCTTCAGGATGGACAAACTCACAAAGAAATAAATTGCAAAATACAGGTAGTCCTTGACTTACAACCATTCATTTAATCACCTTCAAATTTTCCATTCAAAAAAGTGACTTAGGAGCAGTTCTCATGCTTCTCATGTGAACAAATTTTGGGAGCTGGGCAACCAGCATGTACTTTGGACGGTTTCAGCATCCCCCCACCCCCGGCATTTGCAACCTGCCTAAGGAGCTTCTGACAAGCAAAGCCAAAGAGAGAAGCCACATTTGCTTAATGGCCACATGGTTGCAACTGCAGCAATTTTAACAACCATAGTAAAAAAGATGGTAAAATGGGACTGAATTCACTTAACAACTGCCTTGTTTAGCAATGGAAACTTTTGGCCTTCACTGTAGTCATAAGTCAAGGACTACCTGTACATCAGGAGCAAGGACGCAATCCCTAGATTGCTGTGGCGTTTTTTCATCCCTTTGTTGACAGTCGCCCTGTGGCCAAGAATCAGGATTCACACGGCAGGTTGGGTCACACCCCATTCGCCAGGGGCATTCAGGGGGTTCTCTCCAACACCCACGAGGGCCACCAGGAAGTCAGGGCTTCTACTGGCTGCCCAGCAGGGGGAAGCCTGGACTGGTCTCTGAATGCCTGCTTCAGCAAATTTCAGAAGCTTCTGCTTTTAAATTTAACACCGTTTGTGACGGTACAACTTGCTTTGGTGCCTTGAAGCAGGAAACACATATTCTCAATCAATAAAATGTGGAACTCCCTACCTGAGGATCTCCATCGCTAGAGATTTTACTGGGGCTTGAAAGCTGTCAGCAAGTTCTTTATTAGCCAGCTTTGCAGGTTTCCCTTTTACAGTTAGCATTAAAAATTAAATACTGGTTATTTCATATTAGTTCTTATCATGGTGTAAAGTTTCCCATTTTGCCTGCCTCCATTAGAAAGATGGAAACGTGCAAAAAGCATGCAGGCAAAAAATGAAGGCGTGCGTGCATGGAGGCTTGGCCACAGCAGAATTCGGCCTCCCTGCTTTTCCTGCATCTACTGTACCTGAGGCTTTAACTGACCGGAGGCCTGGCAAGGTCCCTGTGAAGCAGCTCACCCAGTAGCCGTGCAGGCCGGTGCGGGTAAACTGGCTCCGCACACCCCAGATGAAGGGCAGGTGGGCTTGCTTGGCGAAGAGGAGCAGGAGGATGCCCTGCATGCGGATGGAAGACACCTGAGAGCGGAAGAGGAGCAGCCCTGAGCCACACAGGCAGGCAGAGCTTCTTCCAGCAAATGCCCAATGCTGGTGATGCCCAGAGAAGACAGGGGTGGGGGGGGGGGAAACACAAGCCCTTCACCCTCCAGCTTTGTGGTAAAAGAACCCCATGGCCAAGATCTGTGCGGGAACCCCAAAGCACTGCATCCACTCCCATGCAGAAGGCCCCTCAGACCTCTGGAGGAGGAGGAGGAGGAGGACGGACTGTTGATCTAAAACCCCCATTTGGGGCTAGACCCCCCCCCCCCTCCCGGAGCATTTCAGACCAAGCCGTCTCAGGCCGAAGGGACTCGGAGGACCCCGGCCTCAGCAACCCAGGGCGCCGCCTCCAGCTTTGCCCCCCCCGAGAGCTCTTTCCGCTGCAGCAGCCCGGTCCCCTCGGAGCTCCCCTGGGGAAGCGGCGGCTCCCTTTCTTGGGGATGAGAGGCGCCCCGGGGCCCGCCCGGAGCCTCGAACGAGCCCCGCCGCTTACCCGGACGTAGCCCAGCGGGGCGAGCGCTGCCGTCAGGGAGGCCGTCCAGGGGTCCTCGAAGGCCAGGTCGGAGAGGAAGCTCAGGATCCGGGAGTTCACCTCCTGTAAACTGAGCAGCGGAGGCGCCGGTGATGCACCCGGGCGAGGCGCCACCCGAAGCGCCGCCGCCGGGGACCCTCCGGGGGAAGCAGAGGGGCGCCGCCGCCGCCGCCGCCGCCTCCAGGGGCCGGGCAACCGCTGGGGTCGCGGGACAGCGCACCCACCCGATGGCGTAGAGGTCCACGGGCGGCTCCGGGGCGCCGAGGCCAAGCAGGGCGGCCACCTCGCCGGGGGGCTGCGCGGTGCCCACGTTCCAGGTGACCAGGTGCAGCCTGCGGGGAGAGACAGACGGCGGTCAGCTCGGCGGCGGCGGCGGCGGCGGCGGCGGGGGGGGGGCGGGCGGGCGGGGCGGGGAGAAGCTCCTCACCGGAGCCGCTGCGCCGCCGCCGCCTCCATCTCCTCCGAGGCGGGGAAGCAGGATGAGAGCGGCGGGCAGCGCCGGCCCGGCTCCTCGCCCGTGCGCGACGTCACGCGCGCCCATTGGCTGCCGGGGCGCAGGCGCAGATTCACAGCGGCCCCGCCTCCGCTGCTGGCCTCCCGACGCCCCGCCCACCGGGGGGGCTTGGCGCCTGCGCACGGTGGCCCCGGGAGGCAGGTTGGGGCTCCGCTTCCGCCTTCGAAGGGTCCCCGGTGGCCTCTCGGGCAGGGAAGAGGCCGGGAGCCCGGACGACCGGGGGGGTGGTGGTGGTGGTGGTGGTGGTGGTCTGGCGCCTCCTCCGCTCTTCCCCCGAGGGGGACCCGGTTTGGGCCTCCCATCCGCCGGCCACTCAGTCATTCCGAGATCCGGCCATCTGCCCGGGGCCCAAGTGGCGATGCCTGGTGGCTCCGTGCGCGGCCCCGGCCCCGGCCTCACCCGAGGCGCCCCTTGAGTCGAAGGCGGCGGCGGCGGCGGCGGCGGCGCCAACCCATGCACGGGCAGTCCTCGCTTACCGGCCGTTCATCATCCAGTGACTTGTGAAAACGGCCGCAGCGCGGTCCTTGCAGTCAGTGCCGGCTGTCGCGTGCCTTGCACAGCAGGTCGCCGAGAAACCGATTGCAAGGCTTCCACCACAGCGTCCCCTAACCGCCGGGTCGCCGACTGGAACCGGCCAGTGCAAGCGAAGCTTCATCTGTGCATGTGCGGGACCTCTCCCCCCCCCCGGCCCCGCCCGCGGAAGATGATTTTCTTCCGAAACTGCATCCTGATGCCAGAAAGGTGGGGGACCGCTGTCTATGCGGTATCCATCAGAGGCGGGGGGGGGGGGGGGGGGGGAGCCCGGGGGCCGCCATGCAAAGGGCAAAGGGGGCTTTGGGGGGCTTTGCCCCCGGTCTCTTTTGGGGGGGGGGGGGGGGGGGGGGAGAGGGAGAAAATGTCTGTATTTGGTCACCACAATAGAAACAGAAATTTTGAGACTCAAAGAGCACGATGGTTAGGGGATGATTGGAGGCTAAGAGGGGTTGCAGGAATTGGGTATGTCTAGTTTAACAAAAGGGACTGGGGTGATAGGATAGAATCTTCCAGTATTTGAGCAGCTGCCATAAAAGGAGGGGGCCAACCTATTCTCCAAAGCGCCTGAAGGCAGGACAGGAAGCAACAGATGGAAGCTAATCAGGAGAGAAGCAACCTGGAACTAAGGAGAAATTTCCTGACAGAACAATTAATTAGTGGAACAAGTTGCCTCCAGAAGTTGTGAATGTTCCAACACTGGAGGCTTTTAAGAAGAAATTGGGCAGCCATTTGTCTGAAACGGTATAGGGTGTCCTGCTTGACCAGGGGATGGACTAGAAGGCCTCCAAGGTCCCTTCCAACTCGTTATTCTGATGTGTAGATGAATCAACACCTCTTAAAATCTCTCCAATTCCTCTGCTCTGCAGTGAAGGAAGGGTCAGGCAAAGGAGAGATTGCTTATAGAAATTACTTGCTCCTCATTCTGCAAAACAGAATGGCGAGGAAGGGATTTTAAGAGAATAAACTGTGTGTGTAGGATTCTCACCGATCCCTCAAGCTGTGGCTTTCAGTGTGAGCAAGCCGGCACGTGGACTCCCCAGAGGAGGGGAGTAGCTAGGAGACATTACAAAGTTGTGGAATTTACTTGTGTTGCCTCCTTCCAGCAGGAAAGCACAGTTGCAGTCACCTGATTTCCCACTTTGCAGCTGCTTCAGTTAGTGGCAGAATTGCCACACTTAATTAGGATCATTAACTGAGGACTACCTATATGACTTCCCAGCTGTCACTGCAGTGGTGGGTTGTTACCAGTTTGCCCCGAAACCCCGATAGCTATTTATTTATTTATTTCTATACCGCCTTTCTCCCGTAGGACTCAAGGCGGTGTACCGTCAAGAAAAATATAGACACACAAACATCATAAAATTGCTAATTAAAATTATTACTTAGTTTGGTCAATTAAATAAAACCCAGAATTGGATCACATTTAAAAAATCATTCACATATTCATATGTTTAGCCCCGCCTGTTGGAACATCAGGGTTTTGAGGGCACGGCGGAAAGCACGGAGATCAGGGATATTCCGTATCTCCGGGGGCAGTTCATTCCAAAGGGTTGGAGCCCTCACAGAGAAGACCCTCCCCCTGGGAGTCGCCAGTCGACATAATTTGACTGACGGTACCCTGAGTAGTCCCTGTGAGAACGAACTGGTCGGTGGGAGGCTATTGGTGGCAAAAGACGGTTTCGTAGGTACCCAGGTCCTAAGCCATGGAGCGCTTTAAAGGTGATAAATAACACCTTGAATCGCACCCAAAAGACCACCGGGAGCCAGTGCAGCTCGCGTAGGAGAGGTGTTACATGGGCGTAACGAGCTGCGCCCATAATCACCCGCGCGGCTACGTTCTGGACCAGTTGGAGCCTCCGGGTGCTTTTCAAGGGGAGCCCCATGTAGAGAGCATTACAGTAGTCCATACGGGAGATAACTAGGGCATGAGTGACCGTGCGCAAGGCGTCTCGATCCAGAAAGGGACGCAACTGGTGGATCAGGCGAACCTGATAAAAGGCACTCCTGGCCACGGCCATCAAATGATCTTCTAAAGATAGCTGTGAATCCAGGTTGTGGGCCCTCTCTGTGGGGAGCAAGATCTCATCCCCTATTGTCAGTGATGGTACCAGCTGACTATACCGGGATGCCGGAAGCCACAGCCACTCGGTCTTGGAGGGGTTGAGTCTGAGCTTGTTTCTCCCCATCCAGATCCGCACGGCCTCCAGGCAACGGGACATCACAGCAAGGGCATCATTGGGGTGGTCTGGGGTGGAGATGTATAGCTGTGTGTCATCAGCATACTGATGAACACTCACCCCGAAACCACGGATGATCTCGCCTAGCGGTTTTACATAAATGTTGAACAGAAGGGGTGAGAGGACTGACCCTTGCGGCACTCCACAAATAAGGTGCCTCGAGGTCGACCTCTGCCCCCCTGCCAACACAAACTGCGAACGGTCAGAGAGGAAGGAGGAGAACCACCGAAGCACGGTGCCCCCTATTCCTAACCCCTCCAGCCGGTGCAGTAAGATACCATGGTCAATGGTATCAAAAGCCGCTGAGAGATCTAATAGGACCAGGACAGAGGAGCAACCTCTGTCCCGAGCCCTCCAGAGATCATCCACCAACGCGACCAATGCCATTTCCATGCTGTATCGTGACCTGAAGCCCGACTGGAACGGATCCAGATAGACAACTTCATCCAGGTATCGGGGTAGTTGTGGCGCCACCCCACACTCTCAACAACCTTCGCAACAAAGCGAAGATTGGAGACTGGATGATAATTTGATAATATAGCCGGGTCCAGGGAAGGCTTCTTGAGGAGGGGCTTCACAACCGCCTCTTTCAAGGCGGCGGGAAAGACACCCTCACTCAGAGAAGCATTTATAATCCCCTGGAGCCAGTCTCGTGTAACCTCCCGGGAGGCCAGTACCAACCAGGAGGGACACGGGTCCAATAAACGTGGCAGCGTTAAGCTTGCCCAGAATCCTGTCCACGTCCTCAGGAGTCACAGAGTCAAATTCTTCCCAGATAACACTCTCAAGACCTGCCCCTGTCTCCTCCCCTGGATCTACCCAATCGGAGTCCAGGCCTTCCCGAATCTGAGCGACTTTATCATGCAGGAATTGTACAAAATCCTCAGCTTGACCCTTTAAGGGATCTTCCCGTGCCCCCACCTGAAGTAGGGAGCGGGTCACCCTAACAGCGCGGCTGGGCGGTTCTCTGCAGATGCAATAAGAGTGGAGAAGTAGCTAGACTTCGCCGCTCTTATCGCCACTAGGTAGGTCTTAATATAAGATCTCACCTGTGTTCGGTCAGATTCAGATCGGCTTGTCCTCCAATCGCTCTCCAGGCGTCTTTTCCGATGCTTCATCTCTCAGCTCCTCGGAAAACCAAGGAGCTAGACGAGATCGGCATCGGGTCAGAGGCCGCAAAGGCACAACGCGATCCAAGGCCGCAGTAGCCACCCTGTCCCAGGCGACCACCAAGTCCTCAGTCGAGTCGTGAGCCAGAGTCTCAGGAAATGACCCAAGCTCCATCAGGAACCTTTCGGGGTCCATCAGGCACCTGGGACAGAACCATTTGGTTGGTTCCGTCTCCCTGCGGTGGGTGGAAGTGACTTGAAAGTCCATGTGAAGGAGAGAATGATCAGACCATGACAAGGGCTTGATGTCTATATCCCCTATTCTTAGATCATTCAGCCACTGATCAGAGACAAAAATCAAGTCCAGAGTGTGATTCCCCAAGTGGGTGGGGCCTTGAACTACCTGGGTCAGGTCCATGGCCGTCATGGAAGCCATGAACTCCCGAGCCGTCTCCGACATCTCACCAGCGGATGGCAGGTTAAAATCCCCCATAACAATAAGTCTGGGGGTTTCCACCGCCACCCCGGCTATAATGTTGAGCAGCTCAGGCAGGACCGCTGTTACGTGGCAGGGAGCCAGGTACGCAATCAGTAGGCCCATCTGAATCCCCTGACCCCACTTCACAAGGAGGGACTCACATCCGGCTATCTGAGGAACAGTGGCCTCCCTCGGACAAAGACTTTCTCTAATGATTGCTGCCACTCCCCCACCCCTTCCCTGAGTCCTTGGCTGATGGAATGCACGGAAACCTGGCAGGCACATTTCCACAAGGGGAACTCCTCCCTCCTGGCCTAACCAGGTCTCCGTAATCCCTGCCAGGTCAGCTATGGGTTTTGAAACCCGCCCCTATGTCACTGTAATTGATTAATGGAAATTAATCTAAGAAAGGTGGCCTAAGGAAGAGATTGAATTTCCCATTTCCCAGAATCACTCGGAATAAAGGCTTAGTCAGGGTGCTCTTCTGTCTATGATTTTATTAAGAGTTATTCCAATAGGCCTGTATTGGAAGATTGGGAGACCAAAAAAGGCACAACTCACAGTAAAGAAACAATGGAGATCATCTAACCTATCCTACAGAGCGAATGCCGGATAAACAAATAGCACGGGGAACCCAGCTGGACTGGTCAGGGAGTCCTTGCAGGTTCGGCAGAAAAGAGAGAAAAACAAGAGCATGCTAAAAGGGGGAGGAGGGGTGTTTACCCACCGGAGCTTCGACCATCACAATGCAAAGCAAGCGGAATCTGCTGTTTGTGTCTCCGCACTTGGCCCGTAGCCCCTGCCACAAGCCCCTTTCAGGGTCGAGGATTCTGGAGCATGAAACCAGATGCCACGCAACGCACTGGAGCAGCTGCATTGCTCTCCATCGCCACTCGCTCTCCTTGGTAGGAAACAAGGGGGGGGCAGTCATCACTGCCAATGGGGAACAGGGGGCTCTACAGGAGCCTCAGCTGCAGCTGGGGAGGGGCGCACTGGGTCAACTCCAATGCAGGACACGGGGGGGGGTATCTGCACTTGTCTTGCTCTTGCTGCTAAGCAAGGAAGTTATGTTTTAATAAGAATTCTTGCCTTTTCCTACTAGAGTCGTTTTAATTCTTTCCCCCATCCTCAAAATGTCACCATCTGTTCCCAGAGATGCACTGCCACCCGCCAGAAAGCCTCCGAGTTAAACCCAAATCTTTTAAGCAGGAGTGGGAACAGTAATGTGTTTGAGCAGATCCTCTTAGCCACACAATAATTCTCTGTGTTGTAGTTCTCTGCGTTTTGGAGGAGAGAGGATTACTCGGCACCCGCGTGCCTCAGAGGAAAGGGAGGACTAGTGGGACACAGCCGGATCCCAAAGGACTTGGCCTGGCCGGCCGGGGACATTCCAGCCCTGCTTTAATTCTGCCTCCTGTGCCCAGGAACCGCCAACTTCCTGAAAAGCCCTCTCGGCTCAACACAAAAGCCACAGAGGCCCTGCCAAGGGAGACCCCTTCGGCCACAGCAGAACAGCCTTGGTTATTGCACTTTAAGGCAAGAAACGAATCGGCTGGCAAGGAATGGGGAAGAGCATGGGGGGGGGGGGGGGGGGAGCCTCTGTCCTCCCCAAAGGCCACTCTAACCTCCCCTCCGACATTGCTACGGAGGGGGAGGCAGAGATCCAGGGATGGAATCCCCCCCACTGTGAAGGATGTTCTCTCCCCCTTGCTCATCTGATTGTCTGAAGGGGAGTCCAGCGCCAGGGCTGGGCTTGGGGACCTCCTCCAAAAGCACAAGCCCCAATTCAAGCAACCCCGGAAAAAAGGAGCTGAATGTGGTTTGGTCAGATGAGTGAGACCCTCCCCACTCTCAGAGTGGAGAGGGGCTTCCATTGTTGTTCCTGAACTCCAGGACGCACAGCCCCAAAGAAGCAGCAGCGGTGGCCTCAGGACAGGGTGGGGTAAGGAGAGGAGACCACAAGGTGATTGGGGAAACCGTGTGCCAGCAGCCACACTTGTGCCAAGGGTGCCAGAGATGCACCCAAGACAAGAATATTCTTTACAGAGAAAAAAGGCTTCCGGATCCCAGCATTTGTGGCACTCAGTGCTGAGCTCCCGGCTCCACAAGTGCAGCGCCATCCCAGAATTCGGAAGAGGGGAAACAAAGATAGGGGCTGAGGAACTCTTAAATCACCACATCACAAAACTACTTCAACAAAACCTGCCACTTGGAAATCAAAGAGTCACATGAGAACTGGTGTGTGCCCCTCCCTGGGGAAAGGGGGTGGTCACAGAAGCAGCTGTCCTGAAGGGCCACCTCTTCCCCGGACACCATGGCCCGGGCGCTCAGGACCAAAGGATTTGCTCACTAGATTAAGGGCAACTAGAATTAGCAAGGGGGGCAGAAGTTGCCGGCCGACTGGAGGAAGAGGGCTTGAATGTCCAGAGACGGTCCGCTGGTCAAGAGGGTGGAGTTCCTTGGCCTTCCCGGAGACACTCTAGCAAACTAGAGGGAGAGAGAAGGCATGAGAGTGAACCAGGGGCTGAAAGGCTGGCCGAGTGGCACTGCCAAGCAGCTGTGGGTTTGGGCTGCTGCTGCTGCTGCTGCTTGAAACATCTTGGACCTTGCCTGGAAAAGGCTCTGCCTGGTTCTGACCCTCTGCCAGCCCTCAGGCCCCCACTCAGCTTATGGCCTCTCCCCGCCCCCCCCCCCAGCAGCAGACCCCCATCTGGAGTCCCTGTAAAATTATTTTTCAAAATCCTGGGTCCAATTCGATGAGGGAGACAGCTCCCCCCACCCCCCCGGTGCAGCTCCTCTTTCTGAACCTGGGAGCGAGTGCAGGCACCACTGGCCACATACCGTGTGGTCAAGGAATCCATGCTACTCGTCTGAAGCCGACATGCCTTTCAGAGGGTCTCTCTCTCTCATCTGCGGCAGAGAAAAGGCCGTTCACCTCCAGTCCTTGGAAAGGTGAGTGAGACCGAAAGAAAACCAGGTCCAGGTGGGAAGCCCACCTCAGGCTCGTCCCTGAAGCGCTCACCTCATCCAGCTGCCTCTTTGTCTCGTCCTCCATCCTACGAATGTCCTCCATTGTCAGGTCAACCCATTTATCAAGCCAGCAGAACAGCTGCCGGTGGAAATTCGTAAAAAGCCGCCTCTCTTGCTGCAAGAAAGTGGGAAAAACCCCTGAAGCTGAAAAGCCTGGCTGGAAGTCCCTGCACAGCCACACACAGCAAGTGGGGCTGCACTCCCGAAGGGCCCAGGCGCACTGCAGCCCCTGCACAAATGCCGCCGGGGAACTGCCGGTAGCTTCTGCCACAAACTGCTCACCTTCTGGATAAAGTTCTCAATTTTGTTTTGCAGACCCCACCACTTGAATTTGACCGTGACCAGCTTGTAAGCACACATGTATGGGCATTCGGCCTGCTTGCCCAGCTCCTTCTGAAAAGACAAGAGGCCACCGGCCACCACTCAGGACGGCCGCCCTCCCGAGATCTGCCCGGGCTGTCCGGAGGGCCCCCGACACACTCCGAGGGAGGTCCCAGAGCCACCCCAAGCAAGCAAGAGGCGCTCCCTACCTTCCAGTTGGGGCCCAGAGGGCCACGGCCAGTCTTGACCGATTTAAATTTTGCTGGGTCTTCTTCTGGCTTGTAGTCCTGCGTTGGACAAGAGAGGAACCAGAAGATTATGGAAAGGGAAGAGACAACCCCCCCCCCACCCCGAAGCTTTTTTCTTCTTCCAGGCTCTGAGGAATCTCTAAGGAGGGATCGCTCCCCACCCTCCTTCCCTGCATTTGCCTGGGTGGGCCTTCTCCCTTCCTTCCTGCCTCTCCTCCTCTCTGTCCTCCAGCCTGGTGGGGCTGCAGGCTCCATGCCAGTAAAGCCACGTGAACCGGGACAGAGGCCTTCCAATCCCCCACTTTGGCTCCACAGAAGGCAACCCCCCACCCACCTGGATTTCAAGCCAGCATGCCCTTCTCAACTCCAGTCTTGCCATTGCAGGCGAGTGGCCTCCAAGGGCAACTCAGAGATTCCAGCCAGGTGGCTCCTGAGTGGCCATCCTCCCCGTCGATCTGTCCGCCCCCATCCCCTTGCTGCCGCCCTACCCTGGAAAGCACATGGCTCCGGTCCCCAATGTCTATATAAACGGCCTCCACGTTCTTCCACTCCTCAGGATCCAGTTTATGGACCTGCAGGAACAAGGAGGGGCAGGTTTCAGTCTACATCTAGGGCTCTCCTCTGCTGCAGCTTTCAGGATATCCCTGAAAGTGGATTTATTGGGGGGGGGGGGGGAGAAGCAATTGCAAAAGAATTCCTCAAGAAAAACATGCAAGAACAAACTGCTATCAAAAGTGATGGGAGTCAACATTTTAAAAAGAGCAGCTGGGTGTCATCTGGCCCCCTTCCTCCTTGCAAAGCAAAAAGCGGGGGAGGAGGGGAGGACTTGAAAGCCCATCAGAACAGTGAACTCATCAGCCAGGTGGGGCAAGGTGGAATATGGGAGTAGACAACCTGTTCCCCTCCTCCATCTCCTGTTCCTGCCAGAAAAGTCCCCAGGGAGGGTCCCCCGTGTAGTTGCAACCAAAAGACAGACCACCCCCCAAGTCCCTGCCCAGCACTTACATTCTCCTGCATGCCCGTATCTGCTTTGTGCCAGGTTTCAATTTTGATCAGGAAGTCATCCTTCATGTACTCATTCTACCGAGGAGAAAGTTCTCTCAGCTGGGAAGGAGAGGCCAGGCCTGCAACCACCTCTAGACGCCCAGGGTCTCTCTCTGTCTCTCCCTTCGGAGAGCACTTGTGGGGGGGGAGCATCCCTCTGGCTTGAGAGCAGAAATGCTGCAGAAGCCTTGCTCTGGACCCCCGGCAAAGGACTGGCTGAAGCCCCAGGGTGAGAGCAGGGCTGCCAGGCAGGCACACCCGGGGGTGGGGGGAGGTGTCTCTTCCAGCTCTAAGAGAGGAGCTCAACTGGGGGCTGCAGAGCTGGGAAGGTGCAGCCGGCAGAGGACTGGCAGGGTCTAGGGGATCCAAGCGCCTGGAGGAAAGTGAGGAGCAGGGACAGGAAAGTCTTGGCCAATCCACGGAAGGAAAATAGGATGAATAAAAAAAAAACTGGAAGGCTTCCCATTCTTGCCTCACAAGCCATCCGAGGGGATCAAAATGACCTTCCCCGGAAACTGCCCATCCCCCCACAGCATCCTAAATAAGTCAAGAAGCCAACGCTGGATCCGGCCTCCTTAAAACAATTTTCGTCCCGTCTCCAACCTTCGCTTTGTAGCGAAGGTTGTTGAGGTCGTGGTGGCCTACCAACTTCCACAATTCCTGGAGGAAACAGATTACCTAGACCCGTACCAATCGGGTTTCAGGCACGGCCGCAGCAGGGAAACGGCATTGGTCGCTCTGGTGAATGATCTCTGGCGGGCCCGGGATGGGGGTTGTTCCTCCATTCTGGTGCTACTTGACCTCTCAGCAGCTTTTGATACCATCGACCATGGTATCCTACTGCGACGGCTCCGGGGGTTGGGAGCGGGGGGCACTGTTTTACAATGGTTCTCCTCCTACCTCTCGGGCCGTACGCAGTTTGTTTGGGCGGGGGGGTCAGAGATCCTCTCCGAGACCCCTCACTTGTGGGGTACCACAGGGGTCGGTTCTCTCCCCCCTGCTCTTTAACATCTACATGAAGCCGCTGGGTGAGTTCATTCATAGTTTCAGGGTGAGGTATCATCAGTACGCTGATGATACCCAATTGTACATCTCCATCCCGGATCAACCCAGGGATGCCCTTTCCGTGATGTCTAAGTTCCTGGAGGCAGTACGGGTCTGGATGGGTAGAAACAGGCTCAGACTCCAAGACTGAGTGGCTGTGGATCCCGGCATCTCCTGATCTAGTCACCCCGTCACTTTTGATGGGAGGGGAGTTGCTTACTCCCTTTGAAAGGGCTCACAATCTTGGCGTCCTCCTTGATTCACGGCTGTCCTTGGTGGATCATCTAACGGCCGTGACAAGGGGGGCTTTTGCACAGGTTCACCTAGTGCGCCAGTTGCGGCCTTACAGGGATGCCCTCCGCACAGTCACTCAAGCTCTCATCTCTCGGTTGGATTATTGCAACGCTCTCTACATGGGGCTGCCCTTGGGGTACACCCGGAGGCTCCAGCTGGTCCAGAATGCGGCCGCGCGAGTTGTTACAGGAGCTTCCCGTTACTCCAGTGCAACACCTCCTGCGCGAGCTGCACTGGCTGCCAGTGGCCTTCCGGATCCGCTTCAAGGTGCTGGTACTTATCTATAAAGCCCTTCATGGCATATGCCCGAGGTACTTGCAGGACCACCTCCTACTGGCCTCCCACCGCCCTGTGCGTTCTCATAGAGCTGCCCTCCTCCGGGTGCCGTCGGCCAGACAATGTCGGCTGGCGACCCCCAGGATGAGGGCGTTCTCTGTGGCCGCACCGACCCTCTGGAATGGGTTACCCACCGAGCTCCGGACGGCTCCCGATCTCCACACTTTCCGCGCTGGCCTGAAGTCAGCAAATTCCCTGACCGACTATGACGCTTTTAATTTTGGGATTTTAAATTCGGATTGGTTTTTAGTATTTTATTGTTGTGGTTTTTATTGTGTGAGCCGCCCCGAGTCCTACGGGAGAAGGGCGGCATATAAATTTTAATAATAAATAAATAATAAATAATAAGTCACCAAGAGTTACCTCAGATAGTGAGATGGGCTGACTGATAAGTAAAATTTTTTTGTGAAAGCTCTCTAGACCTCGGTTCTGGGTCCTCCAGACAGTGAAAGGGAGCTTCCTGCCTTACCCAGACTATGAAAATGATCCAGTACTGCCGGCTGTGCGCCCGAGGCCAGCATGTCCCTGGCAGTCCAGCCACTTACCCAACAGGGGCTGGAAGCTCTACTTACTGTTATAACTGCTCCAAAACCGAGACATGGAAAGAAAAACAGAGCTTTAATCAGGGATGCAGCCACGGCTCCTGGCCTGCTCCCCCCACCAGCAACACTGATCAGCGGGAAGGGCCCAGCCTAGCCAGAGTCCCCGCCTCATCCTATGCAGCAGGGAGTTCTGCCGCTTGCCCCCCACCCAGCTTGAGCACCCCACGGGGTGGGGGGCTGCCAGGGAGTGCCTCGCACAAAGAAGCCTATTTTAAGGTCAGCTTCCACCACCCCCACACAGGGTAGGCACAACCGAGGTCCTACCCACCGGGTTGGCAGTGCGCTATCCAATGCCGCCCATCCCCCCACCCCGACTCCACCTGCCATGCTCTGGTTGCTGCCTGGGAGCCCAGCCCCATGGCCCACTTTCAGGTTTGGGTTCATTTCCCCCCCCCCCCTTGAGAAAATTGGCAACACCAGCAGAGCTTTTCTCTCCAGCAGGTAAGCAGTCCCCCATCACCACTCCGGGGAAAAGCCTGGCCCTCCCCACAGCCCTGGCCCTCCCTCCCTCCCTCCCTCCCTCCTAACTCATGGGTAACTCAACCCAGGTAACCCAATCCAGGGCTGCGCTGGGCAGTAATTGGATGCCCTGGCACCAAGCTCCATGATTGAGGGGAAGGTGGCAGCTCCTGTAACTGGCTGCCACCCCCCGCCCCCCGCTTCTCGCAGGGGAGGACCCCGGTCATAGCAGCAGCAGCAAGCCCAGCCCTCACATTCAGAGCTCAGACACAGCAGCCACATAGGGGCCCCACCTCCCAGGAGGTGCAGGCAGCCTGGACATCTCAAAGGCTGAGGACACCCCAGAAAGCAGGGGCGGAGGCCAAACTTCCAGTGAGCAGCAGGGCAGCAGCTTCCAAGCAGACCCAAGTCCTCCCAGCCCTGGACACAGCCTCCATCCTCTGCAGTAGCTCCTGGTGAAAGGTGGCCTGTAGTTTGCTAATCCAGGAGGTCAGCCCTCCTAGACTCGCCCTGCGCTAAAGACCCAGCTCCCACTGTCCAGACCACGGGGCCTCAAGCAGCTGAAGCAAGCCAGGCAGCGCGGAGGAGGAAAGGCCAGGGCAGGGGCAGAGCCGAGCCACAACAGCAGGTTAGCTGTGCATGGAAGGATCTCTGGGGCAGTGAGGCCACCGGCTCAGAAGGGCTGAGCTGAGGGGCTCCTGCAGGACAGCCGAGCCCAGACCCAGTAGCTGCTTCTGGGCTGCCCAGCAGCCATAGGCCGGTTGCTGCTCTGGGGAGGGGGGGTAGAGAACGGCCAGGCTTCCCCCGAAATGGTGCCGTGCCCCTGGCAGAGGTTTTCCTCCCTCCCTGAGTAGGCAGAAGAGCGGCTGAGCCTGAGCTGTGGAAATTCTCTGAAGTAGCTCAGAGCATCGAACAGCTGCCCAGAGCAAACCCACCTAGGACACCACCCTAACACCAGTCCCACCTCCCACCGGAGGAAAGGGCTGGCATCCCCAAGCCCCCTGGGAAAGCCACCCAAAGTCCAGCAAGACAGCGGCAGTCGCCCTGGCAGAACTCACCGGTCCGGCAGAAAGGGTAGGCATTCCAGGCCTTCTCATGAATGTCCAGGGCACCCTCAGGGGCCAACATCCTTACAAAGGGAGGGACTTTGCTGCAGGACAAAGGAGAGGTCAGAGCTCACCCAGGCCTCCCAGCAGAAGGTCCCGACGGGATCCACCTGCTCTTCTTCCTGCTGCCAGCGACTGTGGTGGTTAGGGGTTCAAGACTAAGCGGTTTTCCGCTTAGGAGGTTTTCCCCAGCTCCTCCCCAACAGTCAGGCACCCGGATGCCACCCTGCCTTCCCTCTGCCTGTCCCAATGTCACCGGACCAAAAGGGTTTCCTAGGGACAGAAGGCACCAAACCCCTTCACCCTTGACTATAAACCGGCAGGTTGTCTCCGTAGGAACAGGAAGAGAAGCTGGGACCTGTCAGTGTCAGAGGTGGGCAGGACTAGCAGTCACCGCTTGAGAGGTTTGCTCGAAGCCGAGGAAAGGCCTGGGGGGAATCCCTTAGAACAAAGCCTCCGCTCCCAACGGGAGAAAGTATCTGCAGCTCAGGGCTGACCTGCGGGGTCCTTGGTGCTCTCTGAGCGGGTGTTTTCCTTGCAGGCGTTTCATTACCCAACTAGAGAACATCATCAATGCGGGGGGAAGGAGGGATGCCCGTGCTTGCTCTGCCAGGGTTTTTTTGTTTTTGCTTTTTGAGATGGGTCGATTTCCTCCTTATTGATTCCTTGATTATTGCTTTTTGCCTGATGGTTTGTCTGGTGTGGATTTTTGCTTCTCTGAATGCAGGAGGGGATGGTATTTTTAGTTCCTTCCTGGATTTTTTATTGTCTCTTTTGAATGTTAGGTAAATGGGTTTATCCTCTGTGAGCATTGATGGCCGATTTGTGTGAATGCCAAGCAGCCAGGAATATCCCAGCTTTTTTTGGATTTGGCTCTTTTTGTACCCCCGGCCTTTTCCTGTGAAGGGGGGAATCCTCCAATGCCACCTACCTCTGCAAGTGGTATATCTTGTGTGTGAATTGCCCTCGCTCCCCATCTCGCTCGTAGGGCTCGTTCACCAGCACTTCCACCCCTTCGCCCCCGCCAGTTTCATTCTTGCTGGCCTCAGCAACAGAGTACAACTGCCCCACCTGGTACTGGAGGAGGAAAAACACAGCAGAATTAGCAGCTTCCAAACCGGAGGGCTGAGCACAGAGCGAGCCAGCAAGCAGGCCGGGAACCTGATGCTCATGTCCGAGGTGTGGGGAGAAGCAAAGCACAAGCGGGGCACTGGGGCAGGATCCTGCAGTTCTGGGCCTGCAAACGACTGCCATGCTGCTGGGGGTGCTGGGAGGTCCGCCTGAGCTGATTCTGCACCCCCTTTGCAGAGCCTTGGCATCCCCAGCCCTGCCCGAGAGCTCCAAGGCCAGCTGGAGGGCATCGGGGCTTAAGGAAGAGCAGATGTTTCCATGGGAACCGCCTGCCCAGCGCATCTCCTCCCCCTCTGCAAGGTACAGTTCAGGCCTGAAGAGGTCAGGCTGCCGGTCACCCCTCCACTCCCCCCGTTTGTTTTGGCCCCACCAGAACAAGGAGGAGCTTGGGCCCCTCAGGGCAATGCCTGACCCTCCAGGGATCCCAAGTGCTGTTTACAGGGGGAGAAGGACTTCCTGCTTCTGCTCTTTGGGCCGCTGTCCCAACAGACCAGCCCCCTTCCCTGCCCTTCCTGCATGGCAGCCTAGCTCCAGAGGGAGAGGCAAGCCGCTCTGGCAAAAGCCCCCTCCTCCCCTATCCATGCCTCAGGAGGACACAGGAGTAGCAGCTGTAGGAGCACAGAAGGTGACTGAGCAGACACTCTGCTCATACACTGTGCCCAAACGAAGCCTAATTCAGTGACCAGACCAGCCAATCGCTCTTGCAAACCCAGAAGCCTCCTGCATGGTGCGCCCAAGAGAGGGGCAGCCTCAGCTCTACATCTGTCAAGAAGGCCAGACCAGGATATCCCCTCTGCCCATAAGGCGTTCCAGCCTGCCTGTAGAACTGCCCTGCTGGCAGGGGCTTCAGAGGCAGGTCCACCTTGGCACCCATCCGTGACAGCCTCAAGCAGAGCAGAGGTGCCAGGGAGCCTCCTCCTCCTGCTGCTGCTGCTGCGGCAGTGGCTTCCACACCCAGGGCGCCTTCCCTTGGAGGAACTCTGGTGGACTTCCTCCAATGGCAGCCAGGAATTATGGACACTGTAGTCAACACATATTTGAAGACTGTGGTTGGGCACTTCAGGGCACAATCTAGAGGACTAGAAGAATGGGAAGGTTTATGTGACGAGAAGCTTGATCCTAGGCGAGTACACAAACACGGAGGAACGGCAAAGGACGGCTAGACAAGAGCATAAGCGCAGCCCTACGGGATGAGGCCGAGGCCCAGCGTTTCGTTTCTCACATACACCTCTCACGGCTGCTCCCTTGGCATTGGGAGGCCTGCTGCTCCAGCCCGCAGTACACAGCCAGACACGTGATAACTCTGTGGCGATGACTGGAAGGGCACTGTCAATCAAAGGGTTACAACAGGGAGTTGTAGGGTGGTCTGAGAGGGGACTTGAGAGGTGCAGGTGGAAAGACAGTCAATGTCTCCCCATCAGGGAGGCACAATTAGGAACAACTGCAGGGCCAGTTGATGGGATATAGAAGGGGACCCGCTGAAAAGCTACTTATTTATAAAAGTTGGTTTATTCCTTTGTTTCTATGTTAACTCATGTCCTACTTATGGTATTTCCCCTGCATTCTGCCCAGCTTGGATACCTGATAGACTTGAGCCAAAATCAGAGAAAGGGTTTTAGTGGGGGGAGGCAGAACAAAATAACAGTAAGAAAAAGACTTCCTCAAGGAAGGTGCGTGATCCGGTCCTCCAGGAATTTTCCAACCACTTTTACAGCCATTCCAGTGAGAGGTTATCCCCAGATCATGTGATAATGAATTCCTCAAGTTTACTGGCCACTTCCTTCAACAATCAGTGCTTGAGAAAAAGCAAGAGTCCCAAATAGGAACAGTAATGCTTTTTTAGGAAGCCAGTTTTGATACAATAAGCGTGTTTCACACAAACTTTCTTGCAATCTTGTTCCTGACTATAAAAAAAGCTCAAGAAAGAAAACAACCAACATAAGAGGTTGTACAATTCTTGCAAAGTGACAGTAACACTGGGCAGAGAGCTGTCATGCAGAAAAGCGATCACACCTCTGAGCCCAAGAAGGCTCACAGGCAAATGGCCCTTTCTACAAGTGTATCAGAACTTCCCCCAAAATTGCTAGGAATTGCTTGAAGAATTCATTTCCCTGTTTCCCCTCCACTCCTAATAGTTCCCCTACTGCATCTACGGCAGTTCCTTGCCTACGAAGGCAGAAGCTGCCGTGGTTAGTTTTCAAAAGACCACACAGCAAGCCCTCAAGTTTGGCTAGATGTCTTTAAAAGCGGGGGGGGGAGGGGGGGGGGGGGGGAGGAAGGAGGGAGGGAATATTAGTCTCCATTTATTTTTCCTCAGCTTTGGGAATAGCCACAAGTTTGACAAGACAAGGAAGAAAAGGTTTTGTCAATGGGCTGAGGGCAATCCCCCACCCGTGAAACCGATCAAGTGGTCCATCCCACTCTGTGTTGTTGCTGCTGTTGCTGCTGCTGGGGGGTGGGGAGGGGGGTTCATACTGTTTTTTTTAATGTTGCAAGCCAACCGGAGTCATCAGTGTGTGAGTCGGGTGACTATACACCTTGGTTTAGAAAGTAAAATAAAAGCAGACAAGAGAAGAAGGCACAAAAGACCTACCTCCTCCACCGACACAGGCAAAACGACGCGGCTGCAAGAGAGCAGAAGAAACGCAGTTAGGCAGCAGCCTCGCTCGCCGCAAGAGGGGCAACCCGACACCGCCCGGAGCGATCCAGAGATCCGCAGCCGAGTTACCATCGCCCCGCTCCCAAGAAGACAATACAGGCTTACTTAGACGCCGCTGCCCTGACCCACCCACCCAGGGAAAGGATTCATGGCGCAAGCCACGGCAGGGCATCTCAGCCCCCCACCACCACTCCGCGGGGCTCTCCGGGGCCAAGCGGCTCCCAGCGGCAGCGCCCGGGGCGGCGGAGAGGGGGACCTGCACCGACCCACAAGGCCGCCAGCGGGGGACGGACGGACGGACGGAGGGAGGGAGGGTGGCGGGCGGGGGAGGGGGAAGCTGCTTCAGGCCAGCCCGGTCGGCGCTTCCAAGCTTCGGAGGAGCCCCGCGAGCGGGACGGAGGGGGGCTGGACGGGCGAGCTGCTCCGCGCTGCGGGCCCTTCGCGGAGCCGCCCGCCCGCCCGGGCCACGCGAGGCAGCCACCTCCGGCAACACCGCACCGGGACAGAGGATCCCGGGTCCCCCCCCGCCCCACGGAGGTCACGCGGGGGAGCCGGGCGGGGGAGGCCGCCCCACGGAGGCCAAGGAGGGAGCGGCTGGAGCGGGAAGTCCCGGGCGGCCAAGGCCGAGCGGCTTCCGGGCCAATCCCGCCCCGTCACGCAGGAACCGGAGGGGCGCCGCGTCTCCCGGGAAGGCCGGGCCGGCGGCGGGACCTTCAGGGGTCCTTGGCCGGGGAGCCCCGCCCGCCCCGCTTCCCGCCTCGGCGCCCGACTGCGGTCAGGCGGAGGCGGCGCCTGCGGGCCCGGGAAGGGAGCCGCCAGCCCGGCCGAAACCCTCCCCCCCTCGTTCCGTTTCCCTCCCGCCGCCGCCGCCGCCGCCCGCGGAACTCCCCGCCCGCCCGCCCGCTCGCTCGCTCGCTCGCTCGCTCTCTCTCTCACTATTCTTTGACGAGCACCATGGCGGACGCTGCTCCGCTGGCTCCGGCGCGGCCCCGCCGCCCGTCCGCCCGCCCGTCCGCCCTCCGCTCGGCTGTCCGTCGCCCTGCGGCCCCTCCGTCCCCGGCGCCGCGCTCGGGGTTCCGGCGGGGAAGGGGAGGCGGGCGCACCGGGCGGCGTTCCTCGGCAACAGCCTTGCGTCACCGCGCGGCGTCCGACGCACGACGTCACGCACGCGGAGGGGGCGGTGCCGTCCTGGCTCCCCTTAGCCGGCGGCAGGCGGGGAGAGGAAGGGCCGGGCGAGCGCCCCCGCGCGGTGAGCTGGGAAGCGGCGCCCGTGGAGCGCGAAGTGCCGCACTGCCGGCCGAGCGCCCTGCGAGGCGCGGCTTGGAAGCAAACGCTCCGATGCAAGCCGATGAGGCGCCGAAGGAAAGCGCGAGGCGGAAGCGGAGCCCGGATTAAAAAGCCACGGAACAGCCCCAAAGGGCGCCTGTCGGGGGTCCCTGCAAGGGGAGGCGCCTCCGAAAAGATCTTGCGGGGGAGGGGGGGGGAGTTCGGGGAGGGCCTCATTAGACGGCCCCGAGGCCCGGACAGAGGCCGCCTTGAAGGTCAGAGTCCCGGGAAGGGAAAGTCTATGAAGGAGGGACTCGCGGCGGCGGGGGCGGCGGGGGGGGGGGGGGGGCGACCTGCAAGATCTCCCTGTGGAGTTCGATGTTTTGATCTACCTCGCAAGACTATCGTCGTGATAGGGATCTGGGTGTCCTTATTGACCACAAGGCAAATATGAGCCAGCATTGCGACAACTGCTAAAAAGTTACCTTGAGCGGCATTAACGGGAATGCAGAGTTCTGACCCCAGGAAGAGCCCTCCCCTTCCCCCTCGGAGAGTCTTAGAGGAGTCCTCCGTCCACTTGTGTGTGCTGACGTTCAAAAAGGTGGGCGTCCAGGGGGTGGCTTCAGGATGGAAAGGATGCAGAAGAACAGAGTGGGAAGGGACCTTGGAGGTCTTCTAGTCCAACCCTCTGGTCAAGCAGGAAACTCTATGCCATATGGCCGTCTGATGTCTTCTTAAAAACCGCCAGATTTTACTGCTTAAAACAGCAGTAACTGCAAGAGGGCCCTAGGAGTCCTAGTGGACTACCACAAGAGCCAGCATTGTGCTGCAGCCCCCCAAAAAGCTAATGCAGTCCTAGGCTGCAGCAACAGAGGAAATAGCATCAAGATCATGGGAAGTGTTGATACCGCTTGCGCTGACTCTTGGAATACTGAGTCCAGTTCTGGTTACCATGATACAAAAAAGATGTTGAGGCTCTAGGAAGAGTGCAGAGAAGTGCAACAAAGATGTTTGCGGTGGGGGTGGGATTGGAGGCTAAAACATATGATGAATGGTTGCAGGAATTGGGTACTCCTAGAATTAAAGAGAAATTTCCTGGCAGTGAGAACAATTACCGTATGTTTCAGAGTATAAGACACACTTCCCCCTCCCCCAAAAGTGGGTGGAAATGTCTGTGCATCTTATACAGCGAATGTTGCTGAAGCCCCACCCACCCACCATCTCCCACCCTTTGGCCGTTTTCGGCCTCTGTGCATCGCGTTTTCAGCCTCTGCACACTTCCAGGCTGCAGGAATCGCCACAGTACATCGCTGCCGATTGCCACCTCTGCGTGTTGCGTGTTTGTCCTCCGCACGTCCCATTTTTGGCCTCCACGCATCATGTTTTTGGCTGGTTCCAGGCAGTGGGGATCGCTGCTACCGCCGCCAATCCCTGCCACCTGGAACCAGCTGAAAACACGACACACGGAGGCCAAAAACGGGGCATGCGGAGGCTGAAAACGCGATGCGCGGAGGCGTTGATCAACATCGATGTGCTGTGGCAATCCCAGCAGCCTGGAACGGGTCTGAAACAGAGTGTGCAGAGGCCAAAAACACAACATGTGGAGGTAAAAAACACGTCGCGGAGGCGGCAATGGGATGTGGCGATCCCTGAGGCCAGGAACAGCTGATTGATGGTATTCCAGGAGGCTGATCTAACTGCCAATCAGCTGCTCGTGCTGAATCAGGCTGCAATAACGTGCTGAAGCTGGCCAGGCTGTTTGATGTTTGCTGCAAGGATGCTAGCCAGATGAATACCGATGGATGCTGGCAGGCAGAGGCAGAAAAAAAAATTTGTTTTCCTCCCCAAAAACTAATGTGTGTCTTATACTTTGGAGCGTCGTATACTCCAAAAGATACAGTAATCAGCAGAATGGGTTGCCTTCAGAAGTTGTGTGTGCTTGAACACTGGAAGTTTTTAAGAGACTGGATAGTCTTTTGTCCAGATTGGAATGTTTGAGCAGAGGGCTGGACTAGAAGACCTCCAAGTCCCTTCCAATGGTGTAGTGGTTTGGGTGGTACTCTGGGACCATAGAGATGTTTTGAAGTTTCCCTCAGGCTCAGAGGCCCCCCAAGGTCTCTGAGACAATCCCATTCTCCCAACCTAGCGTGGTAGCTGCGTGAGGAAATAGCAAGGGGCATTGAGGCTGCTGGCCTGAGGTCCCAAAGAAAAGCCAGCCCATAAGCCCACCAAAGAAGTCCCCAGACTCACAGACCCATTGGTGGGACCTTAGCAGGCAGGGTTCTCCTCTCCTGGCTTGTCTGGGAAAGCAATTCTGCACAGGGTAAGAAGGTTGGCACAGCCCCCCCTCCCCCCTGCAGCACAAGAGCCCATGGCCTGGCCCTGCATGGCTTCCACTCTAGGACTGTAGCAATCTCCATGGAAAAAGCTCTTTAGAAGCCAGGGTGTGAGGGTCTCCCAGAAGAGAAGGCCTTGTGCACCAGGGGGAGGGGGCCAGGCCTTTGGAGGACCACGAGGCTGAGGTTCCAGGTCCAAGTGACCAGAGGCGAGGAGAAACCGGCTGGGCCAATGCAGCCATCTACAAGGGTGGCAGAGGTGGAGGGGGCTACTGTCAAAGTGGCAGGGAAAGCTCTGAGCCTGGAACACCCTCGGCCACCTTCCACCCACCTCAGAAATGGGGTGCTGAGCAGAGACTGGGAGGATTGGGCCCTGCACACGACTAGCAATGGTTAGCCAGGGCCCGCTGTAGCCATGCTGCCCAGCCTCCTGGCACTCTTGGCTAAAGGCACCAGGAGAAGCATCAGCCAAATTTGACGGCAGTGCCAGATTAGATGCTGCACCCTCTGGCCTTGTCGGCCCCCCAGTGTGCCCCTATTAAAGCGAAATGCCGATGAGGACGGCCGTTTGCTTCCCTGCAGCCTCCTTTTCCTCTGCCTAGCTACGGATTCCATGCCTTCAGTCTCCCTCCTGGCCAAACCAGGGTTTGCTGCCTCACTGGCACTTGGCACACGCTTCAAGGGCACTTGCCTGTCCTTGGCTCAGCGTTTGTGGGAGATGCGAGAACAGAGCGGGATCATTGCTTTCTTCCACATGCCCTCTGTGAAGAACAAGCTGTGCCACGGCTTGACCTGGCAGCTGATCTGGAAGCTGCCAACCCCGGTACAGCGTTGGGCAAGTCCCGCCCTCTTTCCTCCGCATGAGCAAGGCTACAGTTGAGCCAAGAGGGAAGAAGCCCCCTTTTGGGAGCTGGCCATTTCTTCCTCTAGCTCTTTGGGAGGGAAGCAGGGCAGACAAGCCCAAGGCCTCGGCTGGCACCAAGGGCCCAAGGAAGATGTGGCCCACCAGTCCTAGCTCCGTAGCCAGCCCGAGCCACTCCAGCCTCTGCTGCAGCACTTCCGGTCTCCACGGGGAATGCCTTGACCAAACTTTCTACCAGGTCAGCCTTCTGGCTGCTCAGAGTAAAAAACACGAAGGCCGAGTAGAGTGGTGTTTTGGGTTGGTTTTTGTTTTGTTTTTTTATGCTGCGAGACAAAGACAGTGCAATCCGCCTGTGGCATCTTAGCCACCTCCCCCACCCCCACCCCGCCCCAATGGCTGCTGCAAGGGAACCAGCGCCCTGCCTATGAGGATTCCCGCCACCAGAGGGGGCAGTTGCTGTTCCAGGGGCCAGGAGGCTGAACCTGCCTTTGGCAGAGCCAGAAATGGGCAGGGATGGCAGGGCAGGAGGCGGTGCGCATCAGCCCAGGTCATGATTTGGGCATCTCCTTGCCTCGGTCTGCCAGACCCCCTAATGTTTGAGACCTTGAGGTTAATTCCTGCTGCAGCCAAGATGCCTGCGTGACCCTGTGCAAAACTGCCCCTCTTCGGTCATGCCCCAAAAAGTCCAAAGTGGGGGAGAACAAGACACTGCAACCCCCAGCTTTTGTCAAGCTGGTCCTCGATCTGCAGAGAAGGTGAGGGCCACATTCCCCCCAGGACAGGTGCAAGATGCAGGCAAACCAAATGCTCTCCTTGCTCCTCCTCGGCCAGCAGCTGCAGAGGCCGAAGGGACCAGGGGAGTGGCTGGAAGCTATCACCCAGGAAGGGAGAGCAGGCAGATGGGGAGGCCGGAGTCTGTGTCCTGCACAGACACAAACCAAGCCGTTGCCTGTGTGCTCGTGCGCATGTGTCGTGCAGGTGTGTGCCGAGAAGGGCTAGATCACCAGAACAGGCGGGGGCAGGGGGGCATTCCCTTTGCAAAGCAACCGAGACCCGTATCAAGTTAGGCGTCTCTGAGGCCAGCACCAGAGACTGTGGGCAGGGGAGACCACAGCAGGGTGGTGCCACGGAAGAGACATGGTGTTGTGGCTTTTGAATCCAAAGCAAGGCCCGTGAGATGGGAGCTGTGCTGGGGGGCTTCTCAGGGTGGGGGGGGAAGCCCTCCCCCAGCCAGTCTCTTAGACAAACGCCTCCTCGCTGGGTGTGCCGTTGATCTTGAGGAAGAGCTGAGCATCGTCATGCTTCTGCTGCTTTGCCCGTTCCAGGCGCCGTCTGTAGCAGATGAGGTAGATGGGCAGGCAGAAGCCCAGCATGCTCACCCCCAGCAGCCCGACGTTGACCTGGCAGGAGAGAGGGAGAGGGCAGTGAGGGCCGCTGGCGAGGGATGGCTCTCCACAGGGTGGCCTGGAGGGACGGCTCAGTCCGCAGCTGCCTCCTCTGCTTGAAGGGCCCCCTGCCCTTCCCCTCCCTCCCCTGGCACAGAGGTGCCAAGCAGCCCTGGAGCCCCGACTGCCTGCTGACCCAGGGTGCCAAGCATGCCACCTGTGGTGCCCAGGCCAGGCACAACTCTCTCCCGAGGGGGCAGCCGCCCAGGACGAGAGGCCAGGGCCTTGGCCACTCTTGCTCAGTTTCAACAGCTCTTCGCTACCCGAGGGCCAGGCTCGCTAACTACACAGCCCCCACCCCACAGCCAGATAATGGGCTGCCAGTGTGTTTTGCAGCTGTGGGGGAGAAAGGAAGATGGCATGAGAAGAGGAAGCCCCTGTCCATCTGGGACTGGCTGGAGGGGACCTCAGAGGCCTTCTAGTACAGCTCCTTGCCAAGGACAGGAATGCTTGAACCATCCGCTCCTTGACTGCGAGTCCAGGAGGCTGGCTGCTTCAGAGCGCCCCCCCCACCAGGACACCCCTCCTATCCTAGACCCCTGTCTGAAGGGGGGAGGGGCACATTTGTGTTGCCCCCCTGAATGGGCAAGTCTTGCCTGGGGGAGAGAATGAGCGGGCTATAGCAGCTACCAGGCCAGATCTGCACCGAAGGGCCCTGAGATGTTTTGCCAAAATCAGAGGCGGCTGCCAAGAGAGCAGCTGTCCAGACGCCTGGAGTTGGCCTTCCCTTCCTCATGTGCCCAAGACAGACTGAGTCTGTACGACTCCAGCCAGCTCTCTGCACTGCACAAACAAAGCCCACATGGTCTCTGGGAGACAGTCCAGGAGGCCTCTGACACCCAGACCGTGACCAGGCAGCCTCCTGGGAAAGTTGGCTTCCACCACAAGGCCAAAAGGCTCCAGGTGTGGGGCAGGGGATGCTTCTGGCGGGCTTCCCTCCCCAGCACTGCCAGGCAACAGGAGGGACCCTCAAGGGAGATTCCAAAGCACCTCCCTCAGGGATGTGTGCTTTGATGGGCTGGGCACATATCCTGCCCCCCCAGAGAAGGTCCAAGTCCCCAGACTGAGCCTACTCTGCCGAGTGCCCCTGTTCACCTCCTGGGCCTCCATGGCTGATGGACCAGCCACCCAAGGACTAGGAAGCTCTGCCACAGGCATGCCCAGTCCTTTTGGGGTGCAGCTCCCTCTGAGCCCCAGAAGCCAGCACTGGCTGTGGAGGGAGACCCTGTCAGGCACGACTTGTTTTCCACCCTTTTCCCTTCTCAGGGGCACCAAGGCTGCCGGTCCAGCACATCCTCGAACAGCCAGCGCCCCCAGCCTAAGCGGCACCACTTACCCAGAGCGGGTCTCCTTCCAGGGGGCCCATCATGGCCAGGAAAAGGGGCTGCTGCAGGAGGGCAAAGAGGGCGCTGACGAGAGATTGCAGCCCGGTCAAGCTGCCAAACTGCGTGGAAGGATACCTGGGGAGGGGAAGGGGCAAGTGACCCACATGTCTGCAGCTGCTGAGCTGCCCTCGGGCCAGGTCCCTGGGGGTTGGAGGTCGGGTTGAGTGACAGTGGAAGATTGGGTCTCTGCAAACAAGGAAGTGGCTGGGCCAGGGGCCGGTTTGGGGCCCCTTCTGGAGGAACAACCCCTCCTCCCATTACAAAGTGCTGAAGGCCAGCGGCATAGAGCAGGAGCCTGGGAGGCAGATAAGCCCGTCTTGGCCTCTCCCGGTTGAGCAACCCTTGGAGTTGCACCCAACGCCCTCCGTGACCCACGGCCCAAAATGTCGCATCCAAAATAACAGGCGTCTGAGCAGGGCAAAAACATGTGAGTCAGCCCTGGCAAGCGTCAGACACAACAGCAACTGGATCCAGGGCCTGTGTGTGTGTGTGTGTGTACGAGAGAGAGAGAGAGAGAGACAAGGAAAGAAGGAAAGAAAAGCTGGCCCAGGGAAAACTCTCCAGGGCAGGATGCAGATGGGCCTTGGGGGGGGAGGGCAGAGGGGGCCCCCTCAATGTCTTTCAGCTGCCTTCCTTGGGGCACTGAGAGTTTGGGGCAGAGGAACAGCGGGGAATGAGGAAGTTGTTTTGCTCCCCAAGGAACACAGCCTGGCCCGAGTTGACCTCGGCCTCCATCAGATACACGGGAGGCAGGTGGGGGCGGGCAACACCCGCTCTGGAGCAACACCCAGAGGAGCCGGCCAATATCCAGAGGCAAAACCACACAGCAGGGAACCGAGGGAGGAGGAAAGCATGACCCAGAAACAGGGGTGACCCACTTTGCGATGGGCAGCTGAGGAGTGGATGCTGGACTTACACAGCAGCATAGAGACCCCCAACCGCTGAGTGGATGAAGCCTCTGACGATGGTGTGCAGGATGAAGGAAAGGATCTGGAAGGGAGAGCAGGGAGGCTGCCTTCAGAGCAGGAAGCCCCCCGCAGAACCCCCGCCCTCCAAGGCTTTGAGTGAAGCTGGGACACCCCCCCCAATGGAGGCGGAGGGGGGTCCCTCAGCACAGGGCCAAGCTGGCAGCCTTTTCTCCAAATGCCTGCCAGGCCCAGCTGCCCCTTTGCCCACATGCCCCTCCTTCACCTGCAAAGGCAAGTTGGGGATCAGGCAAGTGACCCCAAAGCCCACCAGCAGCACGTTGGTGAAAGCAAAAGCCCGGGTGGCGTTGCAGATCTTCTGGATCTGGCGGTCCCGAGGTCTCTTTTTTTTCTCACCCCTGCAGGTGGGAGGAAGGATCACATGGGCTGCCACCCCTCGAGCCTCCAGGGCCCAGGAGGGCTCCTTCCCTGCCCACCGCTCTGGTGCTAGCCGGTGCCCGGTGACCCTTTCTCTACTTTTAAGGACCGGAGGCTGCCCGTCCGTGACAAACAAGGCCTCCCAATGACGACACTGCGGTTCCTGGCCCAGTGACCCAGTTGCCTCATGGCCTCCCCACCCGGGCAGGGCCCTTCCCTGCGGCAGGTGGCACTCCTGCACCCCAAAGCAAGAGGTGCCAAGGGCGTGTGGGAAACGGCACCCCTTTCCTAAGCTTCAAAGAGGGAAGGAATGCAGGTTGGGTACGCAGCTGGCAGGGAGGGACCCTGCAGCTGCCCCGCCCACTGGCCACGTACGGGGGGCTGGCGTCTCCCTTGTCCGCCGCCTCAGGGCCGTCGTCACACTCCTTCAGCTTCCAGTCCATGATGTAGCCGATTACCGGCGCCGTCATGAGGCAGAGCAGCTGCAGGACTCCGAAGATGGAGCCATAAAGCCCCACTGAAAGACAAGCGGGCAGGCGCCGTTAGGAGCAAGAAACCCCCCAACCGGAGCCCTCCTTGCAGGAGGCCAAGCACAAACCCAACCTCTCTGAGCTCGACTAGGGGCCGCCAGTCTTTGCCCCAGGGCAGAGTTGCGCAGCCTAGTGAATGTGGCAAGAGAGGGCATTGCCCCCTACCTGGCTGAGGGCGACCCAAGCCAGCTCTCTGGAGGAGAGGCAGAGCCAGGAAACAGGCAGGGCTGGGGCTGAGAAGGGGCTGGGGCTAGCCCCCCCAGGTCACAGTAGGCCCTGAGCCCATGGCCGGGCACCCCAGAGGCCTCCGAATGCTCTGCCCCACGAGGCCCTGGGGGAGCCAGGCACCAGAGTAGGGGGTCTCCCATGGGCAGGCCCTTCCTGGCCCAATACCACCGCTCTCCTCCCTCCCTCCCTCCCTCCGGGAAAACACTGGGGCCGATTCCTCTGCTTCAAGGGATTCCAGATTTAACAGGCCCAAACTGGCTGTCACTACGTAAGAGGCGTGCATGGTTTCAGCCTGTTGTGCAAATGACACAGTGGTGGTGGTGCTGCTCCTCCTAATGCAAACCTCTCCCTTCCTCCTGGCTTCCTTCCAGCAGCTATAAATAGGGGCCTGACGCAGAGTCTGCGGCCTCCGCCTTCTCCCTGTTGTAGCTCTTCTGCTTTTCAGGGGGCAAACAGGCCCCTCTGACCCACCCCCACCCCCGGATCCCCCAGGGAACAGTGGAGCGAAGCCCAGGCTCCCAGCGCCCTGCCTGTCATGGCAACACGGCTGGAAGGAGCACCACAAGAGCCAACAGCACCCGTCTGCTTTGCAAAACAGCCTCTGCCGTGGAGGGGCGGGGGGGGGGGCAAGGGGGGGCATCTGGTCCCCAGCAGACAGCGCAGGGCTATCTGGGTGAGAGCGACCCTTGGGGAAGCCCCTGCCCGCCTCGCTTTCTTTCAGACATAAGTGGAGCACCAGTGTGCTGTGTGGGCCCCTTCTGTTCTACATCTGTTTCCTTCGCCAACTGGTGCCCACCAGGGTAGCCACCAAGATGTCTGAGGAGTGAAGCCCAAGAAGGGCTGCGCTCAGGATTTGGGGCGTCTGCTAATTCAGGCCCAGCCGGAAAGCAACGGCCAGCCTTGTGAGGTAGTCCAAATAGGAAGCAGACCCAGTTGAACTACTGCATTTCTCCCTTCCTCACTGTTTATCCTCCAGAAAACTAGGGAGAGTCCCCTTCTGAAGTGTTTCCCATGCTCCCCCCCCTCAGACAATGCCTCTGATCAGACGTTGCCCGGGGGGGAGCTCTTCCGCTCTCCCATGGCCAGCCCCACAGATCACTGCAGCCCGAGGCAGCCTCCGAGTGCCAGGGGGGTCGAAGCCAGGCTCCCATGGGCACAAGAGGGCCCCCACCTGTCTCCAGGTCGCCCTCCACCAGGAACTCCAAGATGTTGTTCATGGCCCCCATGTAGAAGATGAGCCGGAGCTGCGTGACGCACATGGTGACCAGGCTGAGCAGCAGGATGGGGCTGAAGACGCTGTTCATGAAGGATGGGGAAGCTGCGGGGGGCAAGGGATGCGGGCAGGGGGGAAGAAAGGAAAGATCCATCAGGCTTTCTCCAGGAGACGCCACAAACAGGGCTGGGAGATCTGCGCAATCCGGAATCCCAATACTGGTCGGCTGGCTGGCCATTTCTCCTGGGCCTAGAGCACCAGCTCAGCCTCACTTTGGCCAGGCCCCGGGGCCACCCCATAAGATGGCTGCCTGGCCCAAGGTCTCAGCACTGGCTGAGTTGTCCAAGCGGTCACCTCCACCCACTTCAGCAAAGCTTTGGGCCGTGTCCTTTTAGGGGCCACCCCCGCCCTTCATGAAGGAAACCCCCAGGTGCAGCATTTTCAACCCAAGAGTCTGTTACTGTATAAAACCAGAAGGGAAATGTCTCCTTGCAGTCCCTTCCTTCTTGGCTGACTGAGGCCAGGGAAAGGCTCCTGCACAGGGAAGGACTTCTTGCCCTTTGGCCCCCAAGACCAGACCAGACCCACAGGGCCAGGGGCAGAGAGGGAAGTGCAGGCAGAGGGACTCCCAAAGCACCCCAGTTCTTGCAGGCAGGAGAAACAGGCAGGGATGGCTTCTTCTGATGGGTGTTCTGAGATGACTGTCTTCCAGGGAGGGGCTAGCCGATGGAGAGCCCCCTCTGCAAAAGCCATGCCACAGCAGCAGGGGCCTGCCAACCTTCCCGTCCAATTGGCACGGCAGCAGCTCCTGGCAAGAGGGGTCAGCCATGCCCCCTCCTCGTGCTCCTCACCTGCACTGTCTGGCTCGCACTTCACCTCCAGATCCACCGTGGAGAAGCAGAGCTTGTTGCCGTCCTGCAGGGCTGTGGCCTCCTTGTTGCCCTTCATGGAGCTGCCCACACTGAGGCGGCGGCCGACCGTGGTCACCTGCTTGTAGAACTGCTTCCCGGTGATCTTGTGGTCAAAGCCCAGCCAGCTGAACTTGATCTTCACCCTGGGCAGCAGAGAGGTCAGTCCTGCTGGCTCTTGGCCCCTAGGCCCAACAGGTCCTGGGAGCCAAGTGAGCACATCTGACCTTGCCAAGGACCCTGCCTCTTAAGGGGCATTCCCAACTGTGAAAGGTGAGGGACGCCACAGCCTGGCCGGGGGCGGTGGGGAATCAATAGCTGCAAAGAGCAGCAGCCAGCATGGGAAAACCAGCCCTGGCACCCATTTCCCAGAAGGGCCCAGCTGGACCACGAGATCCTGGGCAGCTGGGCAAAAGGGGGGCTGCCTGGCATAGCTCTGCCCATGTTCACCACTTGAGGGGCTGAAAGAACCTCAGCCAGGCCGGCAACGCAGGGTCCCTTTCACACCCAGCTCAGCGACTCCTGCCCCGAGCCACTCACGTGTAGTCCATGTCTTCGGGGCCTGGGAAGGGCTCCAGGGGCCAGTTGAAGAAGCAGTTGAAGAAGACAAGGCCCGCACAGCCAGCCCAAACCAGCAGGATGAGGATGAAGGAGACGCCCAGGTCATAGATCACCTGGGGAGCAGGAGAAGCACTTGGGAAGAGGCACCTGGTTCAGGCTGAGGAGAGGTCGACCTGAGGCTCATGGGGGGGGGAGATTAGTGGGGAGATCCCTTAGAGGTCAGCCCCATTGGTCACTTGAGGCCTCCAGGGCAAGGCATCACAGCAGCTCTAAGCTGGGCCCTCCCATTGGGACGGTCACGGCCTTTAGGTTAAGGACAAGCGTGCACATAGCGACCGGATGTGGCTTAAGTGGGGTTAGGGTTCATTTTGGGGTGGCCAATTCCTCTGTGTGGGGAGCCCATGGAGGGCTTGGACGGCCCCCTGAAGCTCTTGAGGTAGGAGGAGAAAATGGAGATGTGCCTCGATCCCCGCCCCCCTCGGATGGGCTCCAACTGCCAGCCCGAGCACTGCAACACGACCCCCATGAAAACAAGGAGGCGGCCCTTTGGTCAGCCATCCTCCAAGAGGCCCTGCAGACCAGCTGCCCACTGAAATCCATCCACGGAGCTGTCTTGCCCGTGCCAGGTGAGATCTGCCCAGTCCGTAAACCAGGCTGAGGACCTCAATTCAGAGCCAGGCCATGGGCCCAAAGCAACTCGGCTCCCTTCCCAGCTCCTGGTGTGCCTGGGCTGCTGCCTGGCCACTCCCCCAAACCCTCCCATGATGGCAACCAAGCCCCCCCCCTCCTTCCCCCATCCCCCCCAGGGGGGCGGCAGCTGTGCCCAGGGCCAACTTCTGGGGCTGCAAGAACAGCTGTGTTTTCCACACAGCTTTCCCTTTCCTGGAAATACCACATGGCTTCCACAAAACAGGGCAGAAATGGGTTGCCATTCGCAACACAACTTTCAGTAAGCATGCCAGAGGAGGAGTGAGTGTGTGTGTGCATGAGTGAGTGAGTGCAGGTGTGCATTAAATTCCATCAAGCATTTGGCTTCCACTTGTCCAGGTGCCATCCTGTGTTCGTTCCTGCTGTTTGACGCGCATCCTGTCTACAGAGAGGGTGCAGATCTTGGACCCACCTAGATCTGGGCACTTGCCACCTCTGGCCTCAGATGGGGCATCACTTCCGCACTGGGGGAGGGGGACTCAGGGCTCCTACTCAATGAGCAGTGGCAGCTGCAGCCAACTGTGCTTTGTAGTTTCATCTGGGGTGCCGGTTGCACCTGTTCCTAGATTGTGTGTGTGTGTGTGTGTGTGTGTGTGCTTTGAGAAGACTTGCCCTGGTCGCCTAATAGCTTGACTACTACAACGCGCTCTACAGGGAGCTGCCTTGAAGACCACTCAGAAGCTTGGTCCAGAACAGCCATGGGCATGCCTTGGTAGATGAGTTGCCCTGGTTCCCAGTTTGCTTCTGGGGTAGGATTTAAGGAGCCGGTTATGACCTCACACAGAGAGCAGGGATGGCAACCTCCACAGAGAGAGGCCAGGTCAAGCAGGAGCAAAATGGGAAGCTGGTGTGAGAGCCCCCCTCGCAGAAGGCAGCTGCAGCCTTCCTGTGAAGCTGACTCTCGGTCTGGTCCAACTGGTGGGGCTGACATGGGGCCTGGTTATCTGAGGTGCTGCCTATCTCCAGTGGCGCCTTCCTGGCCAGCTCAGACTGAACAGGTGCACATGCCGTGGGATCCATCTTTGGGATGCCTTCTCTGGTGCAGGCCTTGCCCTCTGGAATGAGGGCCCCCTGGGATCCTGGGTGGCTCCCATCCTGAGGGCATCCTGTAAATCCTTGGGTGGGGGGCTCCCTTGGTGGGTGTCTGACTGGCTTTCCTCTTGACCACCCCATTCCTCTTATGGGCTCCTGGGTGGCTTTACCGTTGTGCTGTGAGCCAACCGGAGTCAACTGGACTCTGGCACCATCTCAGTTGGATAAAGAAATGCATAAACTCCAGTCCCACGGGCAGTTGTGACCCCGGGGGGGGGGGGGGGCTTGGGGGATGTTTTCTAGTCCCCAAGGGGAAAGAGTGGAACTGGGTTCCCATTCCCAGCCTGCACAGCCCCCCTCCCGCAGTTCCACCACCACCACTTACCTTGATCCCGGGAAACGTCACCGCCGAGGAGGCATAGGAGCCGATCATGAGGGCAATGAAGGTGGAGCGGAGATCCCCGAACATGTTGGGCAGCTGGGAAGGGAGGGAGGGAAGGTGTAAGGGCAAACAAGGCTGCCTAGAGGAAGGCTCTCCACGGTTGCCTGGAGCAGGGGAAGCTGTAGGGGGGCAGTGAGTGATGGAGAAGACCCTAGAGCCACAATTTGGGAGGAAAGGGGGGAAGGGGAGGGGGAGCATCCCTCCCAGACCTTCCACACCTTTGGCAAGGCTGGACTGGAGGCCCTGTGGAGGGGAGGGGGCAGCTTTTGGATCTGACCCAAAGGCTTGGAAACGACATCCTTCTAAGCTCCCCAAAATGAGCTGAGGTGCAACTAAGGGAAGAGCAAGGGAGTTCACTCCAATGCCAGGCAAGTGGACTCTCCTGGCCCTCACTCAGCTCAGGCCGATGTGCACAGGATTGCCAAGAGCCCAGTCAAGGCTGCGCCCATCACAGCAGGCACTTGCCCCCCTTCCTTACGCATTCAGGAAGGGCACAGAGCCCCCATCTGGCAAAGGAGCCCCCCCCCAATCCCCTCCAGTGTGAGTGCTGGGGGGGGGCAGACACGAATCCAATCTGGGGCAAGACTGGTGCCCATGGAAGGTGGCGCAAGGGCTCACCTTGCCCACCAGGGAAGTTGGCACTTACTGTGAGAGATGTGAAGGTCATGCACATCCCTCCAAAGCCGTTCAGTGACAGCGAGATGAAGATCAGCACCGATAGGGCTGGGGCAGAGGGAGAAAGTGCTCAAACGCCACCCTGCCAGGCCAGGAGCCCAAGGTGGGCGCACAGAATGGACGAGTGGCTTGGTGCCCTGCCCATCCCCCAGCCCCCCACTGGGTAATGCACCCTGGCTCCCCCCGCAGAGAAGCCATGCCCCCTTGCCCAGCCTCTCCCCAGAGCACCCACGGTCACACTCACAGTCCGGGTTGCTGGCCCCATAGGCGATCATCACGCAGGAGACTGCAAAACAGGCGCTGCAAAGACACATGAAGAGGCCCATCAGTCCCCCGGATCGGATCCCCAAGCCCCTCAAACCCACAACAGGCCTCCCCTCACCCACCCACCCACCACTCCCTGCCTTTGAAAGGCTCCCCTCGATCGGGGCTCTGAGCCAGGGCCCAAGAGACGAAGCCTCCCCTCCCAGCTGCCGGTCACCCACCCCGATGATGCAGGAAGCCACCAGCCAAGGACCAGAGCCATCTCTCCATGCTTCCTTTCCCGCCCCAGGAACCTCAAGTGCCAGCATCCTTCCCACCCCCGAGTTTGGGGGGATTCTCTGCCCCCTGAACAGGGCACAGAACAGGGTCCAGGAAGCAAGATGTTTTCTCTCAGGAAGCCCAAGTAGGCCAAGAACCTCCGATGGGAGGCAAAGCAAAGGTCTGCCCTCCCGCCAGCCACACTGACCTCTGGCCCTGTGCTCAGGAGACATTAGCAGCAGTCCCCCAGAGAAACCGGGTGGATCTCCCTCCCTGGCACGTGGATGAAGTGGCTCTCCCTCTCTCGTAGGCTCCCGTTGCGAGGGAAGAGCCTGCCCGGCAACTGGGAGGGGATGGAAGTTCTCCCAGGTGCAGAGGGCTGCGGGCGGCTGTGCTTTGGCCCCAAGCATTCCCACCCTGGCATACCTGCCCAGCAGCCTCAGCTTGCGTGGCCCATACTTGTCCATGACGATGCCCAGGGGCAAGGTGATGGCGCTTAAAAGGAAGGAGCCCACGGTGAAGGCCAGGTTCAGCATCTCGTCCTGCTCCTTGCAGATCAGCCAGCCGTTCATGCGGGCCACTTCCGGCTCTGGGGCTGCCGTCCCGTTCCCGGGCACCAAGGCCGCCCCCGTCGAATTCTCTGCAGGAACAAGAAGGGCATTGCAAGAGATGTCATTCAGGAGGCTTGACCTCCCCACCCACGCCAACTCTGCCCCGGACGGGAGGACTCTCTTTGGCCTGAAGTCACCTGCTCATCATCTGACTTTTTAAAAACTTTTAAGATTGTTTCGATTTTAAACGAGAGAGTCTAGTATGTTTCAAAGCAAAGACTTCATCTTTATTTCAAAGGGACCCGAATAGGACCAGAAGCTTTCCTGGAGTGGGGGTCCATTGCACCCCAAAGGCTCGTGCCTAGAGAAAAGGCCCAGCTGAGCTGTGAGGGGAGATGCTAGAGCCAGTAGGTGTGCAAGCCCCCGCCCCGCTAGGCATGCAAGAGGGCCCCCCTTCTCAACCTTGGGGCTCAAGAGTCTGGGGACCCCTCACCCTCGGATGCCCTGGAGGAAGAGGGCAAGGTCTCCCCGGGGCTCCTGCTCTTTTAATTATCATGCACTGTGTGACCGCAGGCTCCCAGCTGGCCAACCCACATTGGTTTACAACATCAATTTGAACAATGCGCCCATCAATTTAAGAGAATAAAAACAGGCAATAAATAATGATAAAACCATAAAACCATGTTATCGGAACAGCCATCGTGTGTGAATAATATAAAACCTCCATTAAGGGGAGGCCAATTGACAGAAATGGGTTTTAAGTTCAACACTGCAAAATTGGAAACAAGATGTCCTTGCAAGCAGTGGAAAGTCCCTATGCTGATACCCCCCACCCCGAAGATGCCTCCCCCCCACCCCGATTCCAGCCGAGGCTCCTCCCTTCCAGGGGCATCTCCAAGAGGCCCTTGGCAGAAGAGCAGAGCTGCTGGACAGCCAAGGTTCCCCCCAAGCTCAGAGGGACAGCAGCCTTCCCAAGAGATCCTGCCAGGCCCCAGAAGAGGAGACCAAGAGGATCTGTTTCTGCTGCCATGCCAGGAAGGCCTTTCAAGCCTTTGAGAGCAAAAGATGCCAGCTGGGAGAGCCAGGGAGGTGCAGGGGCTGCAGGGTTCGGACCAGGGCCAGGGAGCTCGACCTCTTCATGCAGGGAGGCCTAAAACCCAGACTGGACTACAAGGACAGCAGGGCACAACTACTTCTGAAGAAAGGCCAAGGCCAAGGAGGAGAAGCAGACCTGTGTGAAGGAGGCCAACATGAGTGCCACATCCAGGTTTTGGCATATGTGGGTCCTGTCCAAAGCCAACGTCCTTCTGTCCTGCTTTTCTGCTAAGAGGCAGCCAGGTCAAGCAGAGGTCTCAACTCAGCAGGTTCTGAGAAGGGACTTGAACTATTGGACATCTGCGGCTTCCTCTGGGTATGGCCTTTTCCCTTTCTAGGGATGAAGATGCCCCAAGGGAGATGAGAGCCCAGCCATGGGGAATGCCGGTTGCAAAAGCTGTGGGAAGTTTGGGAGGAAGTGGGCATGCCGCCTTGAGGCTCAAGAGAGCTCATTGGTAGGTGAGAGAGCATTCACACATGCACATTCAGCAGCAAGAGAGCCATCCTCATATCAGGAGAGCTGTGGGTGCACAAGGGGCCTCTGACTGTGTCAAGAGCTGAAAGGGAATGCAGGGAATGGGGCGAAGGGCCAAGGCGATCCGTCAGCAGGAGCCAATATCTGCAGAAAACCGGTCAGAGGCTCTCCCCCACAAGGGGAGGCTGGTCTGCCAGGGCCGCTGAATGCCTCACGGGGGCCCTGGAGGCTGCACCAGCACTACAGGGAGGGAGCAGGAGGGGTGGGCATCCCGCTGGCAGTGGGAGGCAGCCAGGAGGCAACTCAGGGCCAGAAGGCCAAGCCCTCGGCCACCCCTTAACTTTCTCCCCAGAGGGGGCTGGCTTCAGACAGGCCAAGCGACTGAGGCAGCCAAGTGGGCACCTGGCAGATGGAGATTCTCCTCCCCAAAGCAAGGATGGGGGCACTTGGGGCTTCCCACCCCAGCTAGCCCTGGCCTCTTAGGAGGGATGTGCTGGGCAACCCTGGGCAGCCAGTCCATCTAGGCAGCCGACTCAGCCCTTGGCGGCTTCCATGGTTACCCCTTGACTGCCCTCCGCCAGAGGAGGCCTCTGCGGCTGGTTAATGCTGGGTGCCCCCCCCGCACCCAACCGTGAGACCACTTTCACAGGTGGCTCTAGAGAAACATTAACTAACCTGCCATAGACATGGAAGAAGCAGGCAGAGCCATTGGGGGGGGGGAGGGGAGCCCAGCAGGGAAGCCAGGCGAAGGGACAGTCACAGTTGGTGAGCCCAAGAGTCCGTGGAAGAGGTGGCCCCGGGCAGAGGGAGGGCACACCTGTTGGGGTCTGGCAAGAGGGAGGCCTCCTACCACCTGCCAAGTTGCCCCCTCCCCGGCCCAAGTTTTAAACCCCGGCAATGGCTTTACCACAAACAAGGCCGTGTTTGTGGTGAAAATACAGTTGGGCTGGCAGGGACACAAGTCTCTGGCTGCCCTTGAGGCACTTCAGCCTGCCAGCTGCCTTCCTTGGAGAAGGGAAGGGCACAGATGGTGCCCTGCACTGGAGACCCAGAGGGCCTTGGGCCAACATAGGGCCAGATCCAAAGCCACCCCAGTCAGCCTCCAAGTGCAGTTGGCCCTAAGATCCCGGGAGGGGTCAAGTGGTTCTGGCTTCCTTCTTCTAAGGCCCTGGAGAGGAGTGGGAGCCCCATTGCCCAGGGAGGGCTGATTCTTCCCTCCCCCAATGCAACCCCGACAGAATCCCCCCACCCCCATCACTAGGGGCCGGCTTGATCCGAACCAACGTGGAAACGGCAGAAGCAATTCACAAGCATGCCTGGAATGATTCACAGACGGTGCCCTTGGCTCAGCGTCCCTCCAGGGCCTGCGGAGCACAGCCTGCTCACACACCGGGGGGGCGGGGGCGCAGGGGCAGGGGCAGGGGCAGGGGCAGGGTCCAGGGCCTGAGCTGTGCAGAAAAGCCACAGAAAGTGCCTTAAGGCACTTTGTGAAGATCAAGCGGAGCCAGGCAGAAGGCGCTGTCCGAGCGTCACCTGAGGAGCGAGGTTAAAACGAAGGGAACCCCTGAGCCCAGCCCAGCCCTGCTGCTCCAGCTTCTCCCTATCAGGCCCGCCTTCGTTTCTCACTTCACCAACTGGTGTCCTTCCTGGATTCGCCCGATGGGAGGGCAGCCCAAACCCCATTGTCCCATTTCTGATTCCTCTTCAGGCAGAACCACCATTTCCTCCAGGAGGAACCAAGTTGCGCCACCCGCCATCCACAGCATCGGTTGCCCAGCGCCAGGGACACCCACCCCCCATTGTGAGGTGGCACAAGAGGAGTCTCAGGTAAACCATACCCTAGGGCTAAGCCCCAGTCCCACAACCCCAGCGTGCCCCAAAGGGGCTCCCTTGAGCCGTGGCCATTCCCCCTCTTACAAGATGGCTGCCCCAAGGCAAGGTCAGGTCAGCCGAGACCAGCAACACTGCAGCGCTAACTAGCTTTCGGCAGTCCAGGAAGGAAAGGGAGGGAGCAAGCAGGGCCCTCGGCGGTCTCCCCCCCCCACGGCCCCACAGCCTTCAGCCCCTTGCCACCTCCAGGGGGAATGGCCGTCATTGCCGGCAGCTGCAGGGGCCCTGAGCGGATGCGAGGAGGCAACTCAGCACTTCAGCCGGAAAATGCCAGCTCAACAGGCAGGGCTGCCGAGTTGGAGTGGAGCAAAGTTGCTGCAAGGAGCCCCTGATCCGGCTGTAGCCGGCCACAGGGCACACCCTGGTCTCTCTCCCTCTCTCTCCCTCTCTCTCTCTCTCTCTCTCTCTCACACACACACACACACAAGGGAGCATACACACTGTACCCCTCCTATGAGGAAGAGCAGGGTCACCAAAGTGCAGCGGAGGCAGAGCCCTCCCCCACACCCAAACTTTGATCCCTGCCAGAGAGCCCCCTGCTGAGAAGGAGACCCCTCTCGCCAAGGCCCCCACCATAAGATGAGGTGGGTGGAGGCTGTTTTGCTTGTCAGCAACAGAAGGAAGTCCTCAGAAAGACTCAAACCGGAGGCTCAGGGCTGCTCCAGAGAGAAAGGAAGAAGATGACAGGAGTCGAGTCCTTCCTTCCTTTGCAAGGGGAAGCCGCCAGCTGCCCGCTCCCTTCTGAAAACTCAGTTGCTTGCTCTGGACAGGCCGGAGAAAAGAGGGGGGGGCTCATTCTCCTTTGCTGCTTAGGTGGCCTTGACTGGGGGTTAAGCCAAGCCACGGAGTCTGTGGAGTTTCCCTAGGCTGCACCCTGGGTTAAACTGTGGTGCACAGGAATACACAACGGCCCAGGGGTGGCTGTGGGAAGGGCACAGCAGCCCTAGCTGGTACTGGGGGCCCCTGCCTTTGCCCCCCCCCCATGGGTCTTCCCCCCCCCCCCCCCCCGATGCTGCAGAGCCCAGTTCTTTCCCCACCCGCCCTCTCCTGCCAGCCTAGAATCCGCTGGTTCTGCGGGATCTTATCATCTTCCCTCTTGGATAAAGTCTCTGCCACGGCAGTTTTTTTATCACGGTCTCAGCCTGTTCAGACCCTGTAAAAGATTGACCGGGGTCCAAAGGGCAAGGCTGGGGGGGGGGGGGGCAAGGAGGAATAGAGACAGAGGCAAGAGCTTCCTGCCCCCCTCTCCCAAACCCTGCCCAGTGTGGCTGATATCTTTGGAACAGAGTGCAAAGACTTCCAAGAAGGAAAAGGATTTATGGGGGAGGGTCCCAAGGCTGTCCTGGCCCTTCCCAGTCCAAAAGCCAATAGCCAGGCTCACCTAGAAGCAGCCGAGACCATGGCAGGCAGGAAGAGGAGACGGGCTCCAGGCCCCCTCCCCAAAATGCAGACCCCTCTCCTCATGATTGCAAGAGATGCCCCTTTCCCACTAAGCAGCTAGAGATGGTGCACACAAGCCCGATTGCAGGGGGGCTGGCTGGCTTGCCCAGGAGACCACCAGTGGAGCCCATGTGGCAAAGGCCTGGTGCTCAGGAGGGCCGGGCCAAGGTGCTTCTTACCTGGGAGGGGGCACAGGTAGGAGTAGAAGCCCTCCGACTTGAGCATGATCAGGAGGGATCCCCAGCCCAGGAGGACGGCGGAGAAGAAGAGGTTCTCCACGACAGCCGTGCAGGCCATCCACCAGCGACGCCGGTGGGCCGTGGCGAGGGTGGGAGCCATGATGGTGGGTGGCAACAGGCGGGGGCTCTTCTTCACCAGGAGGGTCTTCCAATCTGTTGGCACACAAGGCTTTTTCTTGAGCCCCTTTTTCCTTCAGGGGCTCCCTTCCTCTCCAGACAGTGACTGCTGCCTCCTCCTGTAGCTCCAGCAACCCTCCCCTGTTCCCCCCAGCCCCCATTCTTCCCCAAACATTCTCAGAAGACTGAGCAGCTTAAAAAGAACAAAATATGCCATAGGGCAGAAAAGGAACACAGAGATCACCTAGTCACTCCTACAAATCCCCCAGCAAATGGTCATCCAGCCTCTGCTTAAATGCCCCTAGCAAAGCAGACTCCCCCCTCCCCCAAGCAGCCAGGCCAGTTCTTGGACCACTCTGCTAGGAAATTTGTCCTGGCGTCCACTGAGTCCTACTGCCCTGCTGCCTAAGCCCCCCTTTCTTCTCTAAGAGCCCCAAAATGTTCGTGCTCAGAGGGCATTGATGAGGGAAGAGACTGGCCGGCTGATCCAGGCAGCCATCTGCCAGCGGAGGGTCTCTGCAAAGGGATCTTTAAAGGGTCCAGCGGGTGCTGGGAGGAGGGAAGCTCAGTCGGTGGAGATTGGTTCAAGCAGCAGCAAGATAAGGGCCCAAACTCTTTATTTATTTTATCAGGACTTCTCCAAAGCACTGGATAAACTTATCAGCCTTGGGATAAGAGGATGAGGTCAGCATGACAGGTCAGTAACGTGGCTCAATCAGAGGAAAGGGGGGCCAAGTGCCCAGACAGTGGAGGGAAATCTGAATGATACAGAGGCAGCCAATGGACGGGCAGCCAGCCACCCACCCGGAGCCTTAGTGGTGCCAAAGCATTCAAAAGAGCAAAATAAAAGATGCCCAGAGTTACTCAGGGGGCAAAGAGGGAAGCCCCTGGGCAGAACAACCCCAAAGTGCCCCTAGGTCTATTGGGGGGGCGATGTCTGAACAGGGGTGTGTGTGAAATTGCCCAATGGGCTGGCCTGTTCCTTCTCTTCACAGCTAGCAGCAGTTTTGGGGGAAAGAATTAAATGGGGAGGGGGATGGGTGAAGTACCCCTCAACTAGCTGCCTGGCCCGACTACTTAGACTCAGGAGAAAAGCAGAAGTGGGGAGTCAGAGAAGGACTCAAACAGGGAAGCAGGAAAGGAACCGAGAATTAACTGACCCGAACCTCTTGCTAGAGGGCTCTGGGCAGCTTGAGCTGAAAATTGCAAAAGCCCCTCGCCCTGCAGCTATCTCACAGGGGATACCAAAGCCCGGACAATGGCAGTATAAGAGGGGCTTCAGTGGGGGCACAAGGAGGAGGGCAGAAGGGGAAGGAAGGGCTCCATCATATGACGGGTTGGACACAATAGATCAACCGACCCTCCCGATTTAGAGGCCTTGTTCCTAAATACCCGACGCCTGGAAACCTTGGGGTGGGGATGCAGGAGGCTTCATAAGACCACTTAGGATGGAAGTGGGCTAGCAAGGACCTCGCCTCACTCCACTGGAGATGGCTGGGACACCGCGCTGAGCCCCTCGCCAAAGACCAGGCCAGTTGGGCAGGAGGGGAGCTCTCTAAACCAACACACACGGGGGGGGGGGGGTCACCGCTTTAGACCTCTGCTTGCCCCCGGGATGGGGTGGTGGAAGATAAGAGCCCGAAGTTCGGGGGGGGGATTCTCTCCGAGCCTCCCACGCGGGCGCAAGGAGAAGACGGCGCTGGCAACCGGGGCAACGGGAGTCCCGGAGGCCGGCTGGGATATGCGCGGGGAGCAGAGGCCCTGCAGAGATTCGTCCTTTCCCGCGGAGGGAAGCCAAGCAACTCCCACCCGAACTCGCCCCACAGCCGGGCCGCCGGCCGCTCCGTGCGCTCACCTGGCTACCCAGCTGGATCCGGCCGGCGCTGCGCGGCTGCGAACGCGGTGGCGACGCTTCTGTTGCTCCGTGCCCGGCGCAGAGCCGCGTCTTTTATACCTTGAGGCGGGGAGGGGGAGCGAGGCGGCGCTGATTGGCCCCGGCGCCTTGCCAGCCGCCGCGTCTCGGCCAATCGGGCAGCGCGCCGCCAAGCCAAGGTGGCGAGGTGGGAAAGCGGGCGTTGAGGGGGGTCTCCCGCCTAAAGGAGCGCGCGCCGGGGGGTGGCGAAGGCGGCTCTCCTTCCAGCTGGAGCCCGCGGAACGGCTGGCCACGCGGAGCTCCCTCGGCGACCCTCAACAGGCCGGCGTCGCTTCTTTTCGCCAGGCGTAACTCTTGAGCCCCAGCCTCCATACTCGGTCCCGATCGTGGCCGGCGCCGGGCGCGTAAACCGGCCTTCGTCCGGGAGGCCACTGCTTTGAAGGCCGCCGGTGATCTGAAGCTCCGCGGAGCCGCTGACCTAGAATCGCATCGGGTGCGCCGGACGGTTCCGACCGAGCCCCGAGCGTCGTCTTTGGCCCCCGCCCAGTGCCGCGGAGCTCCCTGTACCGGGAGAAGGGCAAAACCCCCGGGGGGGGGCAAAGAAAGGAGCTTTTCCCGGCCGCCCCTCTTTCCGCGCCCACCGGTATCCCCGCAGGACGATCCTCACCCCGCAGTTGCCGCCACCTGAAAGAGACGGGCCGGTAGAAGGGCATCGGGCGCCCCTTGGAGAAGGGTGCCGCGTTCGCCTGTCTGCCCGTGGATGCCATCGGAGCTTTGCCGCTGATTCTTCAGGGGTCTGTGAGCAAACGCCTCCACCCGGGCGGGGCTTCTCACCTCCGGCACGCAACGCGAGCTGCCCTGGGATCCCCTCCCCGGTTGCCCCACACTCGAGGGCGATCGCGGTAAACAAACCTCTCCTGTCCCGGGTGCTCCTTTTTCCCGGGTGGGCTGGTGAACGAGGCCGGCCGCTCCATCCCTTGGCAGGGAATCTTCGGCTCAGCGATTATTTCAGCCCGAGCGGCTGGTCCCAGGAGGTCACCCCTCTACCTGAGGCTTCTGGCCGGCCGATTTCCAAAGCCGTGAATTTCTCCATCTCGCCCATATGTCTGAACCGCCACCTGGTTGCCTCGCCCGCTAGTGCTTCAGCCTGACAGAGGGACCAAAGTTCTCCCGCTGGTTCCTCCGGAGGGCAGGTTATGCGGGTTCTGAGTCAACCAAGTCCCCCCCTCCCCAATGCTCAGTCCCACCTGCATGCCGGACGGTAGCCCTGCCTCCTCCGGGGGCTCTTTGTCGGTGTTTGTGCCCTCCAGAAGGTTTTTTTTAGTAAACCTGAGAGGAGCACCAGGGTAGGGAAAACGGAACACTTGACTTTATGCAAGGTGAGAGAGGCCTGCAGACCTCCTAGAAGCTGTTCTGGGGTTCTTTTTGCCTTCTTGTGCAATTTCACACCCTGCTCTTGGAGAGATTTTGCCCTTCCTGAGAAGAGACACCCACATCCCCATTTGGGGCCTACATCTGACAAGGGCCTGACGGAGCCCAGAGCTTTGGAAGTGGTTAATTCTTCCAGGCTGACAGGCATTCAGAACCTTTTGGGAGGACCATTCAGGAATGTATTCCGGGCAGGACATGATGTGCCTGCAGATTCCGAGAACAGGCCTTTTGGGGGGGGGGGGGAGAGACAAACCTGGTGAGGTTTCTGTAGGACAGGACTGGCCTAACTGCTTCCTCTGACTCCCATGGTCCCCTTTGAGTCAGTTGGACTGTAGGGGCATTACTTTTCACAAGGACGCCCTGCATGTGGGGTAGTTGTGATTGCAAAGCCAGGCAACAAATCACAACTCTGGTCTTGCATGTTCATTCAAACTCCATTGAAGGATTACAGAACCCACGTGAAGTTGTGATAACGATAACATTCAGAGGCAAAAATAGCCCTCCCCCTTTGGAGAACCCAGCAGGGGTGAGGACTTTTCCACCAAAGAGGGGACGTGGGCTTGGGTGTAAAGGCTGGTCTGAACACAGCTCAGATCTAGCTTTTTAATCAGGGCCCCTCCTGACCCACAAGGGCCGGGGAAGGCTGAAATGCAGGTCCTAGGTGGGCATCCCGATACATCCTTTTGTGTTCTGGGCACAAGTAATTGGCATGCTTCAGTCGGGGTTCAGGGTGTCATGTGGGCCCAGAAGGCTGCACTAAGTAATCCAAGGTTTAGTGAACCATAAACTATAAACCAGGGTTTAGTTAACCATAAACCACTGTTGGCTGCTATAGTCCAACAAGGGGACAGGCCAGGAAGAAGTAACTGGGGTTTAGTAAAGCTAGAATAATTTTAATCCCAATTCAGATTGAGTCCATAGTTAATACAGTCTTAACTCTCGTTCATCCTTTTGATAAATGTTTTGTTTAGGTGGCCACTGGCTCTTCCAGGTCTCGGCTTGCCAAGCGTTTCTGCTCAAGGGTGCCAGGGAGGTTTTGGGGCATGACTGCCCCTTCAGCCTCTACAGATACAGCTTCTGTCCAAGACCGCCCCCTGCTGGTCACCACTGGCAGCTCCCCAGACCCTTTCAAGGCTGGGTATCCACAAGAAAAAGAGCCCAACTGTTGGTAGCAGGGGTGGCAGGTGCCCGCAATTCCAGGCCAATTGCCTTATCAGGGCAATGCAGCGACTGAGAGATACCCAAAGCAGCACCTGTCCAGATGCAAGACTATTGCTACAGACTTTTCTGAGCGGAAGAGAAAGGAAGGGCTCCGTGGGACATCAGGCAACCACAGGCAGGCTCCAGGTTCAGCGTTTCCAGCGGTGAGGGAAATCTCCCAAAGGACTGAAGGTTAGGGGCCCAATCCCTTCTAGGGAAAGGCAGGATTGGCTTCCTCCACACAGGACCCCTTGAAGCTTTGCTCCCCCACCTTGTTTGTGGGAGAGTGCTGGACACAGCTGGGCTCCTGGGGCAAACCCAGAGGCAGGGCATGTTTGCTTCGCTGGCTGTGCCCCTCCGGGGGGGGGTCATGCCTCTAGGCTGCCGCTGCTCCCTCCACCCTCCATCGGCTCGTCAGGAGCCAGCAGGCCTTGATCTTCAGCCATGCTGGGCTCCTCTGGTGCCATCTTCCTTGAGGTGCCCTTTGCAGCATCCAGCGCCTTCCAAGGCAGCTTCTGCAGACTTGTTGGCCAGGCAGCCTCCTCCTGCCCACTCTCCTGATGCCGTTGGGCAGCCGGAGGGGGGTCTTCGCTGCCCCTTCTGGCTTGGCCCACGGTCACGTAAATGGTGGTGATGCTGGGCTCATGGACGCAAGTTTCCACAGGGTCTGCCTCCGAAGGCTCCGCTCTCTGCACCAGGTGCTGGGAGCCGCCAGCCCAGCTCCTGTGGCTGCTGGGATGGTGACCTGCAGGGGCCCAGCCACTGTCCTCCCAGGCAGCTGGTGCCACATTCTCGTAGCAGCTTCTGCCCAGGGAGTGGCATGAGGCCCCCGTGGGGCGGTTGACCTGCAGAGGAGGAGCTCCTTGGACTGAGCTCTCAGAGGCTGTTGGCTTCCAGGCGGGGTTGAGGGCCTCAGGGGGGGCCCTGGGGCTCTGAGGGCCAAAGTGGGTCCCTTCTGCAAAGGAGACGGAGGGCCTCTTGCCCTTGGCGATGCTGGAGGTGCGAGGGATGGCAAAGGGCGAGGGGTGCAATGCTGCTGCCCCAGGGAGAACGCTGCCCTCTGGCAAGGCTGAAAGAGCAGAGAAGGGGATTAAAAAAAAAAGACTGGGCTGGGTTCACCCTAGTAGGGCACTAACACAATACAGTCTCTGCACCCCAAGCAGGGGCAAGGGGTACAGCTGAGCAGGCCCCCTGGAGGCCTCATCCCACCATACCTGGGGGTCATGACACACCTGCAGCTGAGCCTCACCTGCGCATTAGGCACAAGCAGCCCCTTCCCTTCAGGGCTGAGCCAAGGCCACAGCAGCCCCTCCCCACCACCACCCACCACCAGGAGAAAGAAGGGGGGTCCATCTATTTTCCAAAGTACCTGAAGGCAGGACAAGACGCAACGGATGGAAACTAATAAAATAGAAATCCAGCCTAGAACTAAGGAGGAATTTCTTGACCATGAGAACAATTAACCAGTGGAATGGCTCCCCTCCAGAAGTTGTGGGTGCTCCAACAATGGAGGCTTTTAAGAAGAGACTGGCAGCCATTTGTCTGAAATGAGATAGTGCCTCCTGCTTGTGCAGGTGGTTGGACTAGAGGATCTTCAAGGTCCTTTCCAACTCTGTTATTCTGTTCCCTTCCTCCCAAGGGGTCAGCAGCAAAATCAGAGTGGGACACTCGGGGATTTCCCTAGTTTGGCATTACGATCCATTGGCACTGGGCAAGATTGATGTAGGCTTACTGGGGAGGGGGGATCCTACCTCTCCCCTCACTTGCACTCCTACCTTCGCTGGGAGGGAGAGCAGACTGAGGCCCTTGGCAGCCCCCCATTTCTTCGTTGGCTCCCTCAAAGGAGCCAAAGGAGCTGTCCGAGGGCCAGGCAGTGGATGTTGGTTCAATGAAACTGGGGTTGAAGGGTATCTCCGGGTCTCGGTGGGCAACTGGGGGAGGACAAGCATCAGAACATGGCTATCAGGCCCAACCCTTTCCACCACAGGCACTGCCCCTCAGCCCCCCTTAGTTCCTGGGAGAGAAGGCAAGCGGGGGCAGGGGGCACAGAAAGGCAGGCCCCTTTGTGCCGGCATTCCTTGGGGATAGATCCTTACCTGTCACCCGTGGAAGCTTTGAGCCCCCTGGTGAGAAGCAGGGCAAGCTAGAAGGGAGGCTGGGCAGCCTGGCTATCAGGCGGTGCTTTGCTGGAGGGAAGGGATCCCGTTCGGCCCCTGGTGCCCTAGGAAAGAGGGGGAGCTCAGACCGGGAAGACCCACTTTTTCCCGGTCCAGGCCCCCTCTGGCTGGGCAGGGTCTCATTTCGCTGGGGTCATAGGGCAGCTTGAGCAAGGAGGCGCAAATGAAGCTTTTCAGCCCCCTCCCAATGTTGGACTAGACATTTCCCACGTTCCCCTGGCTGTTCTGCTCAAACCAGTCTGGGATGGGAATCAATCCAGTCCCTTACACACACAAACACATACACCTGCTGTGGACCCAGCCAAAGAGGGTCCATTCTGACTCTTCTGGCTGTGTATGGGGGGCTCTCACCTGACCACAGAGGCTGCCCCACGGCAGCGGTGGTGGCAGCAGCAGTAGCAGCAGCAGAGGCCCAGCAGGAGCAGGAGTGGGCCCAGGATGCCTGCAAGGAGGGCCTCCTGGCCCTGGACTTCTGGGAGAGGGAGGAAGGAGTCATTGAGGAAGCCCACCTCCCCAGGGGGCACCTTCTGGATCAGCCTCAGATCAGGCCAGGGAAGGCAGACTCACCCCACGGGCAGTCTCCGGAGACAGGGTGGCATGGTCCCTCTGCACAGGGACAGGCCGCGGAGCAGTTGGGGCCATGGAAGGCTTCCGGGCAGCTCTGGTTGCAGCTGAAAAGGAGGCAGAGAGAAAATGGGGTGCAAGACTGGGGGAAGCAGGGCATCACTGCAGCCACCCCACCTTGTTACCTGGTGCCCCAGTAGCCAGGCTGGCAGAGGCAAGTCCCAGAAGCAGGATCACAGCTCCCGTGGAAGCAGTTGGGACAAGAGGACCGGCAGCCTTCTCCGAAGAAGCCGGGGGGACAGGGGGCCTCACACCTGCAGCAAAGCCATGGAGGGCTTGAAAGGCAGAAGCAAAGAGAGGACAGGTCCCTCTCTGAGGCAGGAGCAGATTCCCCACTGGCCACGTCCCTCCCACAGCTCTGCAAAGCTGCCCTTGCTTCCTTCCCTCCCTGTTTCTGGCAGCTCTGCTGGTGCAGAGGGCCCAAGCTCAGACCCCACCTGGCCCCCATGAATCCTGCCTCGCAGTTCTGGCATCGTCCTGTCTGCGGTTGGCAAGTCTCTCCTTGGAGACAGTGGCGGGGGCACGGCTGGGTGCAGTTGTCTCCGTACAGCCCCAGAGGGCACGGCTGCGAGCAGTGGGTCCCATTCCAGCCGGGGTCGCAGGCCAGGCAGGCCCCCTCCGTGGGGGAGCAGGGCTCTTGGTTCTTGCAGTGGCCGCAGCTGCAGGGGCAGGAGAGAAAGGGCGAGTGGGCATCCTGGCACCCCAGCACTCAGATTTTCCCTCAGCCTCTTTGGGTGGGCAAAGGGCACGCCCGGAGTCACAGGCTCCTCACCTGTGGGCACACTGGGGTCCATAGGTCCCCTCAGGGCAGGGCTCTGTGCAGGTGCGGCCCCTGTAGCCAGCATCACAGGTGCAGCGTCCATCCTGAGGGGTGCACAAGCCGTGCACACACTGGCAAAGGTGCTGGCAGGCTGCCCCCCACCACCCTGCCGTGCACTCGCATCGCCCGGACTCCTGGGCGCAAGGTGATCCATTGCAGTTGCAGAGAGAGGCACATCGCCTGCCCCACCAGCTCCGATGGCAGAGGCAGCGGCCGGTGGCTGGGTCACAGCGGGAGCCCAAGAGATTGCACTGACACTGCCTCCGACAGTCAGGGGCCCACCAGCCTGGATCACACTGGCAGCTGCCTGTGACGGGGTGGCAGTGACCTCGCTGCCCACACTGGCAGGCCAACTGGCAGAGCGGCCCCCACCAGCCCAGGTGGCAGCTGCACTCTCCGCTGGCTGGATGGCACCTGCCATGGGGGTGGCAGTGGCAGTTCTGCTTGCAGTCTGGGCCCCAGAACTGCTCCGGGCACCCTGGAAGAGAAGCACAAGCCTCCTCAAACCCTGGACCAGCCCCCTTACCCTGCTGTAGGACTGGCCGGAAGCAGGGTCTGTCCCAGGAGCCAAGTTGTCATGGACCCTGGTGCCCTTCCAGGTGCCAACCTTAGGAGCGCTTTCCTGCCCAGCCAGGCAAAAGGGATCAGGAGAGAAGTCAGCCCACGGCCAGGGCGGGCACCCAAATAGAGCTGGGGGAAGGGGTTCCCCAACAGGCCAGGAAAGCCAAGGTAAAAGGGGTGAATCCGGCCCCCGTCAGAATTGGGGGAGCGGTTTCTTGACTCTCCCCCAACTGGGCGGTACTCACGGGCGCTGCAGTTGGCCCCGAAGAAGCCCGGCCGGCAGCGGCAGACCGCCGGCCGAATGCAGATCTCCCGCTCTTGGCAGGCGTCGGCGCCCAAGCAGAGGGCTGCGGGGAAAGCGGGGGGGGGGGGGGGGGGGGGGGGGCCCTCTTTTCCCCCCCCCCCCCCCACGGGGGGGCAACACACCGGCACCGCCCCCCCGCGGGGGCCGTCCTGCAGCTCTGCCCCCCCCCCTTCGGCGTTCCCGGGACAGAAGGAACCGCGTCGGGTCTGGGTCCCTGCCTGACTTTTGCCCTCCCCCCCCGTCCCGAACTCCAGGCTGGGGGAGTGGCGGGGGGTGTACAAGCGGGAGGCCCCTCGCACGGAGAGCCACTCACCCAGGGGGCACTCGGGCCCCACTTGCTTCCATCCCGGGCAGCAGACGAGGGCGGGCGGCAGGCTAGCGGGAGAGAGACCGCCCTTAGCCAGAGAGCGGGAGCCCAACCTTGGCCATAACTGCCCCCGGACCGGACCGCCCTCGGCGCAGCCACCCGCCTCTTCCCTTAAGAGGCTGAACACCCCTTCCGAGTCTCCCGGAGCCAAGCGCTGCCGGGCCCGCGAGCCGAGCAGGAGCGTCCGGGGCGCTCGGAGGCGAAGCGGCGCTGCTCCGGACAGAGGAGCGAGGCTCAAACAACCCCAACAACAACCGGGAGGCCTCCGCCGGGCTGCCACCTCGACTCCCAGCTTTCCCGGCCGGTCCCTGGGGCCTCTGGCGGAGAATGGGCGGAAAGGGAAGGCGTGGGCGAGGGCTGGGAGAGAGCCGCAGATGGCAGGCGAAGGCCGAAAGGCGCCCCCCTCCAGAAGCCCCGCCGGCGCCCTCCGGCCCCTGGAGCGGAACGCGCCGCCACCGTCGGGGTTACCCTGCCTGACAGAGCGGGGCGCACGGGCAACCGTCGGAGAGAAGCGTGGCCGGCCGGCTCCCCCCCCCACCTTACCTATCTTCCGTCGTGCACACGTGCCTTCCCCCGAGCTCCAGCTCCGAGGAGCCGCGCCCGGGGTCCGGCAGGCCGAGCAGCAGCAGCAGCAGCAACGGCGGCGGAAGAAGCCAGCGGCGCTCCATAGTCCCGGGGACCCGGCTGGGAGAAGTCGGGCGGCCGCGACCCTCAACGCAGAAGCGCCTCCCGCCTATTTCCTGCGAGTCTTCCTGAGGAAGCTGGCCGGGCGGAGGAGGAAGGGGATCAAGGAGTATCGTCGCCAGAGAGGCTTATCAGGGTCTCTGGCCCCAGCCTCCCGGGCCCCTCTTGGGCGGCTGGAGCGACCTGCAGGAAGGCTCTAGGAGGCCCCTGACCAGCGGAGCCCAGGGGTGGTGGGGTGGACGGGACGAGACTTTTTTGTCTTATGGATTCTGGCAGAACCCCAGGCTGGGACCCCCACCTCTCCGCTCCCCTCCCTCAGCATTCACAGGCCCCCAAGGCTTTAAAGCGAAGGGTCTACGGCGGGAGCCCGCTGAACCCGGATTGTTCGGCTAGGCTGGAGTCCTAGCAAGCACGGGCAGCAGCAGTAAAAAACCCGAAAGAGAACTTTATTTGGTTCCAAGCTAAAGAACTTTCTGTGCTTGTTCCCTGGGGCCAGATCAGATGCCCCCTTCCACGGTGACGCTCCCCCCTGAGCAGGAGTCTCCACCCCCACGATTGACCTCCACTTCTGCCAGCCCCCCTCCCCCACGTCTCTGTCCAAGCATCGCAGCTTCCTCTTGAGACCTTCCTGGACTCCCCAGAAGGGGAGCCCCAGCCCCCACTTCCCCCTTTCTTGGAGATCAGAGCAGGTTGAGCTGCAGCTTCCTCTCAGGTTAGGGAAAGGGGAGGGAGGGGCACCAGGAGTTGTGTCTTGAGAGGGTGTTCGAGGAGGCTCCCAGTTTGTCCCCCCGCCCCCCCCCAGAATGAAGGGGTGCTTTATCCACGGTTAAGATTTGCATGAAAGGCTTGTTTTGAGTGGCATATGGAAACTGGTGGGAGGGGGATATTGGGGTAGGATATCCTGCCCTGCCCCCTCCCTCTGCTTCAGTAATGGAGGGGGGGATTTCCGCTTCCTCCCAAGGAGGTTCTTCATTCCCACTTGCACGTTTTCCATTTTATTGTCCTTGTTGTTTTGGTGTTAAATGTTAAGGTTGCACACTAGCTGGCCATCCTGGAAATTGCAGGCACAGGACAGTGTACAACTCTTGCTCCAGGCGGTTACCAGAAGGCGCAACCTTGCGTGGAGGGAGGGCCAGGTGGAAGGTGCCCAGGATGGAGGCCCGGCAGCCGGTTCTGGGCACAGCACCCGCAGGGCAGGTTCTGGCTACCTTCTGCACAGGGAACAGCCTCGTTGGAGAGGGCGAGGGGTCTGGGAGGGCAGCGCCCCCAGGCTCCTGGCAAAGCTGGGTCAGCGCTTCCCAAAGCACCTCTCCTGGGGCCCAGAAGGGCAGAGCTGCAAGTTCAGCAATGAGTATCCCGGTTCAAGGAAGTGGGGAAGTTGGGCCTGGGGAAGAGGAGCCACTGGGGGGCATTTCTTCCCTCTGCTCTTCTCCTGGACCGACATCTTCTGCGTTGATGATCTCCCAGGTTCCAGGCCTGCTTTCCGGGGGGCTGGGCTGGGAGGTTCTGTGATACCACTGGTTGAAACTGGGAAGGGAGAGACACAGAGGAGACCCCTGAGAACAGAGAGCAAGAAAATGTCTCTGTCCATTGCTCTGACCACTGGTGCCCCTGTGGTTCTCAGCAGAGGAGCCACTGGAGGGACTGGCCTTGCTGTGGGAAATGCTGCACATGGAGTAGAGATACAGTCAACCCCCCCCCCCCAGGCCCCTCTGCGTCCCAAGCCAATTTAGGAAGCCTGGTGGCAGGAGACGGTGAGTTCTACTCTTGCCTTAGGCACAAAAGGCAGCTGGGTGACTTTGGCCCAATCACTGTGTCTCAGTCCAACCCGCCTCACAGTGTGGTTGTTGGGGAGAAGGGAATAAGAGGAGGAAGGAGTACAGTATTCACCACTTTGCCTTACTTATAAGAAAAATAAACAAACAAACATAAATACAAAAGAATGATTCTCCCACTGGGGAACTCAGAGCTCCTTTGCTCTCAATCCTGAGGCTGTGAGGAGAGAAAAGGGGCCTGGCACTTATTGGGCTCATGCAGAATTTAGGGAGTTCACCAAGGGCCAAAATGACACACACACACGCACACACACACACACACACACACGGAGTCTGGCTGATGAGAGGAGGCTAACCTTGAACTCCACCAGGAAACTTCCAGGAAATCCCCAGCCTTTAGGCTGGACTGGGAAAGAAACACCCTCCAACTTCCCTGCTTCAGCCATGAGACCAGAAGCTGCTTCATCCATAAGCCAAAAGCTTCACCTTCCTAGGGAGGGGTTCCCAGAAAAGCCCCCCAGGGACGGTGGTCTGCTTACTTCCCCTTGTCCCCAGAGACGTCGCGGGACCCCGGCAGGATTCCCTCCCAGCCCAACAACTGCCCCCCTTCTGTCCAGCCCAGACTCACAAGCTCTTGATCCTGGACTCGGGCAGGTGGCCATCGGTGCAGTCAGAGCCAGGAGAGCCTATCGGCCACCCCTCACCTTCCTCCTCCTCTTCCTCCCTGAAATAGAGCAGAACAGAGCAGGCATTGCAGACACCTCAATGAGCTTTGTGAGTTTTCGTGCATGTGCTGAAATTGGGGGGGGGGCACATTTCCTTGAAGTGCTGCCACTGCTAGAACCTCTGGACCATCTGATTAGATGAACGGCTACAGTTTGCATCTTTCTCCCTTTAATTTTGCACCCTCGTTAATGAACCTCTTCCTAAACTGGCTGATTTTCTTCTATTTCCCTTCCTGAACTGCAGGAGATGAAATTATGGCACTTACAAACTACTGAATGATACACACATCTGATTAAGCAGCCTCTTTCCATGAAAGTATGTTACCATGCCAGGTTATTTCTAAGAGAGAACCAAGTTGGAGAAACTATCTGAGGATATACACTTCTGTTTAGTTTAATCTGATTCGCTGCCTCCGCCCTTCCTGTGCTCTTTTGGAGAACCTGCCTTGAGTGGCTGCAGAATAAACACGGCCCCACCTTCCGGTCAATGCAGGGAGCTACAGAGCACCAGCCTCACCTCTGTACCTGCCAAGAGTTTGGAGTTGGTCATAAAGAGATGGGTTTATAAAGGTGAGCCATTACTCTTTCTTTCTCAGGCCAAATGCCATTTCTTCGGCCTGAGGGGACCAAATTAATAAATCCCTTTTCCTCTTCCCAGGTATTCAAGAGGCCAGATCCTATTTGCTTCTGATCTGTCCAGGCCAAGGGGAGCTGGACTGCCAGATTCTTTGTGGCTAGTGGGTTTGTTGGAGACCACACATTTGCCAGAGAGTGAGCGAGGGAGAGGGAGAGAGAGAGATGAATGATGCCTGAGGAGGACAAAGCTGGCCTAAGGCTGGCAAAAGACCCACCTGCCTGCCGGCTCCTCTTCTGTGCCCAGCATCTTGGCCCAGATCTTCTTGCGCTGCTTCTTGATGGCAGATTTCACTGCATGCAGGAGGAGGGCAGGGACTCGCTCTCCATTAAGCAGCTCCCTGGAGGCAGAAGCAGCTCAGTCTCAGGAGTGGGACGGGGGGGGGGGGGAATCTACTGGTACCTCTCCTCTAATAACTGCAAGAGGATCCAGGTGTCCTAGTGGACAGCCATTTAAATATGAGCCAGCCGTGTGTGACAGCTGCCCAAAAAGGCCAAAGCAGTCCTAGGCTGCATCAACGGGGGTAGAATCACGATCATGTGAAGCGTCAGTCCTGCTTCATAAGGCCTTGGCAGGACACCTGGAATGTTGCCTTCCATTTTGGTCACAGGCTAAACGTGAGCCAAGAGTGTGAGGCAGCAGCAAAAGAAGCCACTGCTCTCCTCTCCCTTCTGCTCTTAGAATACACCATTCAGATGTGGGCACCGTATTTTAGGAAGCTGGATGGGAAAAGACAACAAACAGCAGAGTAACAGAATAACAGATTTGGATGGGACCTTGGAGATCTTCTAGTCCAACCCCTCTCAAGCAGGAAACCCGAGACCATTTCAGACAAAAGGTGCTTTTGCTGCTGCCTGTCCAGCCTCTTCCTTAAAGCCTCTAGCAAACCTAGACAAGCAATCGGGGACCACTAGAAGGACAGATTTATTGACATTTTTTAAATTTATTTAGATTTTGGTGCTGCCCAACTCCACGGTAACCCAGACTGACTCACTATATAAAAAAACAAAACACAAATGCAGTAAGTTAAATACAAACACAATAAGGGAAATTACAAAATGGCAACTTGAACAATCGACATCAGAACGTGTGTACCATGTGTCAGACCACAGTGTGGTCACTAAGAGTCAACTCAACCATGACGTCAGGTAAACGGTCAGATGAATCGAAGGGCCGAGTCCCTAAGCTGGAAGGCTGGAAGTTCCAGGGGGATCCCTGGGTGGGAAATAGGCAGTTTGCCATTGCAGGCAAGGACTCCGATGTGTGGCAGAGCCTCTGCGGTGCCTCTGAGGACGATTGTGGATAGATGCTGGTTTACTGCACTTTGGACAATGTCAGATGGTGGGTTTTTTATATTGCCTTTATACAATGGTTTTTTTTTTATAGATTTAATTTTTTAATATTTTAATTACTGTGAGCTGCCCAAAGTCATATATTTTATTTTTACGTTTATTTATTAAATTTATCCCCCACCCCCCCCCCCCCAATCTCATCAGTAAGGCGACTCTGGATGACTATTTCAATGGATGGCTACATAAACTGAATAATTTAAGAATAGAATAGAACAGAACAGAACAGAACAGAACAGAAAGAGAACAGAACAGAATAGAATAGAATAGAATTTTTTATTGGCCAAGTGTGATTGGACACACAAGGAATTTGTCTTGGTGCATATGCTCTCAGTGTACATAAAAGAAAAGATTCGTTCGTCAAGAATCAGAGGGCTAAAATAAAGAGGGCTGAAATATTCCTTAAGTCCTGGAAAGCAAGATAGTATTCAAAGCAAGATAGTATCCAAAGCGAGCAGTGATTAAGCTTAATCAGGCTTGCAAAAACTCTCTTATCGTGGTCTTATCTCTGTGAAGTAGAGTTCCAGTCTTCCTGGGAAGTTTGTTTCCTAATCTGTTTTACCCCAAAACTCTGACACAAACTCCCTCCCTCAGAAGCCTCTGGAACTACCAACACCCTGGTCCTGCCTCCGGATCTGGTGCAGTTTCTTGGTTCATTTCTCATGCCATTAATAGACAGTGACAGAGAGCGAGTGCTGCCTCTGCAAAGAAGCTAAAGAAGCAGTGGATCAACTGGTTAGCTGCTGCAAGAAGATCACACAGGCAGCATGGCAAAGTGGCAACTTTTCTTGCAGATCATTGGAAGATTTGCAAGAAATGCCACTTGCTTGCAAGCAAGAACGGGTGGGACCATAAAATAGAGAAAGTCATAGAAAATCATAGAAAATGGAGAAACTAAAGTGCTCTGGGATTTTAGAATTCAAACAGACAGGCACCTGCCACATAACACTCCAGACTTAACAACTGTTGGTAAGAAAAACAAAGAAGCTTGGTTAGTGGACGCTGCAGTACCTGGAGACAGCAGAAGAGAAGAGGAAGAACTGGGGAAGATACAAAGCACAAAAACCTGCAAATAGAAGTAAAACAACTGTGGCAAAAGAAAGCAAATGTGGCACCAATTGTCATAGACACCTTGGGTGCAATCTGAAAACATCTGGAGCACCACCTGATCACCATCGGCATGGAAAAAAATCCCCATGGTCAATTACAAAAGGCAGCTTTCCTGGGAAACAACCATCAAACCAGCACACCTGCCCATCCCAGGTCCTGGGGAAGGACTGGATAGGTGGATAAAAATGCCAGACCCAGCGGTGGCCTGTGTGACCAACAATAATTTAAATAATGCAACCTCTTGACTGGAGAGGATAAAGCAGTGGTGGAATTCAATTTTTTTTACTACTGGTTCTGTGGGCATGGCAGGGGAAGGATACTGCAAAATCTCCATTCCCACCCCACTCCAGGGGAAGGATACTGCAAAATCTCCATTCCCTCCCCACTCCAGGGGAAGGATATTGCAAAATCTCCATTCCCTCCCCACTCCTGGGGCCAGCCAGAGGTGGTATTTGCCGGTTCTCCAAACTACTCAAAATGTCCACTACCAGAAATCTCCAGAACCTCTCAGAACCTGCTGGATAGCATCTCTGGGATAAAGCCATGCAATTAGAAGCTTCTGCTGTTCTCCAAACTCCTTGGGAGACAGACCATCAATAACTAAAATAAAACTTTATTTTTTAAAAAAAGAGAAAATTCAATAACTCTTTTTATGTTAGGTATTAAAATATAAACATTCCCAGTTGGAAGAAAGAGTTGGGATTCAAACCTTTATTGCCAGTGCACAACATATGTACAATGAGATTGGTTAGGGTAACCCGATCATTATAAAACAATGTTTCTGCATGAGATTAAAAAAAAAGGTGCAATGATCCAGTTAGTGAGCTCAGAAATGAAACTGCTTGTAAATTGTATTTTAGCTCAAAAGAAGTTAATGAAAAGTAGTTTCTGGGATGCAAAAAGTTAGGAATTAAAAAAAAAGTTGATTACACAGAATTTTCTACCTGTAGAGATACTCCAATGTTCAAAATTCAAATGCAGTTTTCTGGCTAAACATTTTAACCCCATTTTTAAAGATAATCAGATTCCTGAAGTAAACGTCATTTGCCTGTTTCCTGAGCTTTTTAAAAGCTGCTTATATTAGAGGCTCAGAGAACTATGTTAATTCTTTTCTCTAGCCCAGGGACCCAGCTTCTTTCACTGTTTCCTCTAGCTTAAAGTCAACATGGTTTTTTGGAGAACACCTAAAACTAGGGATAACATGATAGCAGTCTTCCAATGTCAAAGGGGCTGCCACAGAGAAGAGGGGTTAGCTATTCTCCAAAGCACCAGAAGGCAGGACAAGAAGCAACAGATGGAAACTAACCAAGGAGAGAAGCAACCTGGAATTAAGGAGAAACTTCCTAACAGTGAGAACAATTAACTAGCGGAAGGGTTTCCCTCCAGAAATTGTGGATGCTGCAAGACAGGAGGCTTTTAAGAAAAGGCTGGACAACCATTTGTCTGAAATGATATAGGGTATCATACTTAAGCAGGAAATTGGATTAGAAGACCTCCCAGGTCCCTTCCAACTCTGTTATTCTGTTATTCTATCCCCAGGTGAGCTGGCAGGCTTGGCCTCCGGCTCCCTGGGCAGGTGAGCAAGGCCAGGCCTCATGGGGAAGGAGTGAAGGGGTTGTGCCCCTCTCAGAGTCTGGGGCTGGGACCAACTCCAGACACCACAGAAGGAGCCTGGCAAACTGGAGCTTCCTGGGGAAAAGAAAACCACACGGAGACGTGGCAGCCATCTTCAAGTACCAAAGGGCCACCAAGCAGAAGACCAGGTGGAATTTTCCAAGCTGGTTCCAGAAGGCAAGAAAGAAAGGGTTTAAATTAGGAGTGTTTGGGTGGGAAGTGTTTCCGAACACTAAGCACTCTTTACTCTGCTTGAGGGCTGGAGGTGTTTAAGTAGAGGCTGGACAGGTGTCTCTTGGGGAGGGGCAGTGGAGGACTCCTGCACTGGAGGGTCTTCAAGGGATCGCCCCCTTCCTTTGGGTGGGCTGGGGGCTCAGTCTTCTGAAGGAAGGCAAAAAACCCTCTGCTTTTCAAATTGGTGAAAAGTAAAAGAAGATTACAGCAGCACTGTAGGATAAGGATCACAGACTTTGTGGTCTTAAGAAGAACTTATTATTTCTTTTGATTTCACCCATCCCAATAAGCCACTCTCGATAGCCAAAAGCTTCCTGACGGGGACAAGGGGACTCTTGCCAGGAGACACCAAAGAAGAGGGGCGGTCCCGGGGTTGGTAGCACCCTGTATTTTCAGCAGGGCTGGATCCCCCCAGACCCCTATATAGAGGACCCTGCAGCAACTACTCCCTGTCAGAAGACCAACTTGGGCTCCCTGCCAGAATCAGTCCAGCTGTCCTGGAGCAAAGGCAGTTGTGGAGCTGCAATGGGTCCATCAGGAGAGAAGCTCCCCGTCCTTCCCCCACCTCATACCCGGGGAGACCGACTGACCGCTGGTAGTAGGCCAACTCCTCCTCCACCAAGAAGAGGCTAGTCTTGAGCTCGTTGCGTTCTTGCAGGATCTGTTGCAGCTCTTCCTTTGAGAAGGTGCGCTGGTCAGGGGGCTGTTCTGGGGGGACTGCAGCCCCTCCCATATCCCCCTCCTCCTGTTCCTAAGGAAAGATGGGGGACGTTTACATTGCCTTGCTCTGTGAGCCACCCAGGTCAGTCTGATGTCATGCCTAAAATCATGAATAAAATGATTTGTAAAATGAAGCTGATCGCTGGCCACCTGCTTGTGGGCACCACCTCCCCCTTTCATCTGAAAAGTGCCCAGGCTGGACTCAGGGTGCCATCAGCCTCATGCTCCTCAGCGAGACCCCCTCCAGTGCTCCCCCTATCCCAAGACTACTTGGAGCCCAACTTAGAAGGACAAAAGGTGCTGTAGGGAGGCACTGCAATGACCTTGGAGAAGCCGTCCAGAAGCCCTCAAGCGGGGCAGAAACTCAGCAAGGCCAGGCAGGCAGGGAAGCCTTAGAAAAAGGCTCAACTGGCCCGCCCCGACTCCCTGGGGTCTTCCTGTGGAGTCGGTTTCTAATCTGGTCTACCTTGTAAGGTTGGCAGTGCCCACAGGGCTCTTGTTCAGCCAGACGGAGGAGGGGTCCAGGAGGCCATAGCCCCTCTAGGTTGCACTGGCCCCAAGCCCTCTTTGCCCTCCCTCCACGCACTTGCTCTGTCCCGCTCACCGTGGGGGTGCCAGTGCTGGCGGGCTCTGCCGCTCTGCCACGCCTTTCCGCTTCCCAGAGGGCCTCCACCTCCCCCTTCCTCTCCAGGGCACTCCTGAGCTGGGCCTGCACCACGGCCAGCTTCCGGCGCAGGTTCTCATTCATAGTCATGAAGCGGTTGAGCTGCTCCTGCAGCTGCAGGACAGACCCACAACCACCCTCAGCAACTGGGGGGAAGTGGGAGGCCCCCCCACCCTTGCCTTCCCCTCCAGCCGGACCCGCTGGCACTCACAGCCTCTGTGTCCCGGGCCTTGAGCTGGATCTCATGGTCCTGGGCACGGATCTTGTCCCGCTGATGGTCCACCACCTCCTTCAGCTGCATCATCAGCTTCCGTTCTTGGCGGCCAGGGCTGTCTGGGGCAGGACAGAGAGCGGCTTTGTGGCGTCCCTTTGGCTTTGCCATCGCTCGGCTGAGCTTTGAGCAGAAGGAACCTCGCAAGACTGATTCTCATTGGCGGCACCCCAGGGCAGGAGAAGCCACCACGCAAGCAGGAAGTAAGCAGCAAAGGGAGCCCTTGAAGGAGGGGCCACCTTGCCTCCCCCACAGCTGCTCAACCCGGCTGCAGCAGGCAGGATGTGCTCCCTCTGCCCATGGACATCAGGTGCCCTGGCAGCATCTCCTGCTCTTCTGGCACAAGGGGGCTCCAAGGGATGATGCCAGGGACCCACTCTTCAGCTACTTAGCGCTTCAGCTACTTTTCCAATCAAGAGTTACCCTACAGTATTCATGGATACATTTCTTTATTTCTTTATGTTCTTCAGACCTGGAAGTTCCCAATGACGCTGCGTAGCTCACACAATCCAAACAGGGAAATTGTAATAAAACCAATGAAACAGATGATGGAGGACGAAAGATGGCAAGAACAACATGGACCCGATGGAAGAGAAAGAAGAACCTCCGTCTCTCATCAAAATCCTGTTAGTGGCAAATCACTGTTTGTTAAATAAACCCACTGACCAGATCTGCACAGAAAGCTAAATGGTAAACTTACAGCTGGAATTCACATCACCTGCTAAATCCAAACCAAGCAAACCACATGACAGCCTCTGAGCTTCAGCCATCCAGCTGGCTGGGGTGAGTTTAACCCCCTCCCTTGGGAAGAGTCAGCCTCTCTCTCCTCCCTGCCAGGGAGTGGCATCCTCAAAGGCAGCACCAGTGTGTGTCGGGCACCCAACAAAGGTCACACCTGCCTTTCCTCTCTGGGTGCCCAGATTTCATTACTGGCTGAGCTGCAACTCATGATGCATAACTGGAAATTTCCGGTGATGAAGGAAGCCTCCCTCTCCTTCTCTCCAGTCCAGCTTGATTCTGGATTCTCTCCTGGCCCATCTAGCCAAGGAGCCGGGAGCACAAGGACACATGGGAGACCAGGAGGCTGCCGCCTTCCCCAGGAAGGACACACCTGGGCTAATGACTTAAGCAACCAGGCTAGATTTGTGGGACACACCCCCGCCCCACCACAGAGAAGCCTCTTGTGCAAATGGAACTGCTCACTCTGCGTCACAAGCACACCCGCGGGGTGGAATTGCTCACTGCAGCCTTCCAAACTAAGTGCGGTCTGTTAAAGGGCACTCCCTGCCCCCCACGCCACCTTGGGCTCTGTTCGGGGCTACCATTAGTGGCAGGAAGCCTATGGGGCCAGCCGGCCCTTCACAGCACAAAGACAAGGAAGTCAGCCAAACGGCTGCTGGAGTTCCCACAGCTCAAAGTTCAAGCGAGGTGGAAGCAACAGGTGGATGCACAGAGACTCTGGCAGAAGCGGCAAGAAAAGATACTGGGCTCCCTCTCCCTCTCCCTCCCACTCCCACTCTGCCCAAGGCAACCTCCAGGAAAGCCCCTCCTGACTAGGTCGCTCAATGGCTAAGATACCGAGTTTGTTGATCAGAAAGGTCGGCAGTTTGGGGTTCGAATCCCTAGTACAAGTCTGGGTGAGCAGGGGGTTGGATTAGATGACCTCCAAGGTCCCTTCCAACTCTGTTACTGTTTACCGTTACTCCTTGCCCGGCCCGGCCTCACCTTCCTGGCCTTGGCCCCCCGCCAGGCAGCTCAAGGTTCGCTGCTGCTCCTCTTCCAGCTGGGCCAGCCGGTTCTGGAGGCGCTGCTCCCGCTCCCGGGCTTCGGCTAGTCGCTGCTCCGCCACCTGCCAGGGGAAGAAGCGCACCGCTCGCTTCGACCTGCGCCAAGCGCTCAGCACCCAGCGGCGCCGGAGAGGCCCGACCCGGCCAGGGAGATGGCGCGCACTCGGCCGGCTCACCTCGCCCTCCCTCCGCCCAAGCCGCCACCGGAGAAGGACGCGGCAGAACCGGCCGGGCCGCCCGTGCCCAAACGCGGGGAAACGCCGGAGCCTTCCCGGCCGGGAGCGCACCAGCCTCCGCACCTGCCGCGAACGCTCGGCGACGCCGGCGCCGGGCGGTTCCTCTCCCGACGGCGCCGCCAACAGCAGTTCGGCCGCCCCGCCGAGCCCGCCCGCCGCTCCGTCCGCGGCCAGCGTCTCCAGGAGCTCGAGGAGGCGCACCACCTGCGAGACCAGCCCGGCCAGGGCGCCCGTCCCGAAGTCATCCGAGAGCCGCTGGAGTTCGGAGCCCAGCGCGGCCGCCAGGCGGTACACGTAGGCCGCCTCCATCCGGCCCGGCCCCGCGCTCCGGCCCCGGACAGGCGACGGCGGCTGCAGAGCGCGGCTCAACGGCGCCTCCGCTCGGGCGGGCTAAGAGAAGCGCCGCTCCGCCTTCTCGCTCGCCCCGCCTCGCTCGCGGCCGGAGGGAAGGCGCCCCTGGCGGGACTCGGGCTACCGCTGGCCCAGCCGTGCTGCGGAGGGAGGTCCCGAAGCTGCCTCCGGGCGCGCCAGAAGCAGCGCAAGTGGCTCGGGTGGAGCGTGCGGGCGGCACCGCTTTCACTTTCGAGGGGAAGCCAAAGTGGCATTTTCCTTCAGGGCGGGGCTCCAGCCCAGACTCCCCCCAACACAGTCCTCGGCCAGGCTGGTTCGCCTCAGAACCGTTCCAAGTCCTGCCAGCCTCATGGTGGGGAGAGAGCTTCAGGGACCAACCGAGAATCCCCCCCTGGTTCCCCCCCCCCTCTTTCTGCCCTCCCCCAGAACTGAGTTGAGTCTTGTGGGAGGGGCTGAGCAGCTGAGAGGTTCCACAAGAGACACCTTTACAGTATACAAAAATTTATTAAACAACTGAAACGTCATGTGGACACTGACACTATACAGAAACACTTCTTCGCACAAGCCCAATGGGATGGGGGGGGCGTTCAGGCACGGGGGGGGGGGGGGCGCTGTCAATCTAGGCATAGAGGTCCTCCCGGTCTGCTGAGTAGACCTCCCCTTCCTGCAGAAGGGCAAAATTGAGGAAGTGGGACGGGCGATGGACCTCATGGTAGAATTCCTTCGGGTTGGCCAGCTGCAGCTCGTACTTCATGTTGGGGTCATGCCGGACGCCTGCAAGGGAGGAGAGTCCTGCTCCAGAGCCCGAAATGGCCAGGGACCCTCTGGAGGGGGGGGAGTCACAGAGGTGCCCGCCCCACTCCTCATGCCACTTCTGCCATTCCTTGGCCCCCACCAAGGGCAACAGGCAGGTTGCGACACCCAGGACCAGCGGGTGGGTGGTGGGTGGGAAGGGCTCTGGACCCCCATCTCTCTCACTCACCCATGAAGTTGTAGTTCCAGGAGCTCTGGCCCGGCACCATGAAGAAGCCCAGGAAGCGGTCCGAGAGCAGCATCTGCACCCGCTCGTAGTGGGAGGGCAGGTAGCCCTTAGGATTGTTGCCCTTGTCTGTGTTCTGCCGGCCCCACTCGTAGCCGCTGGGGGTCAGCTTGTAGGCGGTCAAGGTGCAGGAGCCCGGAGTGAAGCTGCGGGAGGAGGGGCTGGTCAGCGAAGGGAGCCCATCGGCTCTGCTACTCCCCGCCCCTCCCCAGCAGATGCCCGGACTGACCTGCACGTGATGATGATGGTCTTCTCCCCGTCCCAGGAGGGGTTCTCGGCCATGACTTTGGCGTGGGTGGTGACGTCTTGTGGGGAGAGCTGGGGAGACTCGTTGGGCTGGGTGTGAATCCACCCCAGGGGCTCCATTTCCTACATTTGGGGAAGAAGCCAGGGGGGGAGGGGTGTGTGTCAAGCAGTGTCAAGCGCACAGAGGCCCAGCCTACCTGCCCCCCTTCCCCCCAGGAGCGTTTGCAGCAAGACAGTAGTGCCCAACTGTCTCCTTTGAAGAAACGAAAGTTCCCAGGGACCCCCCCATACACCTGGGCCACCCCAAAGAGATTACTTACCTTGAGGTACTCATGCTGGGGCAGCTGGCCGGGGAGGTGGACGGTCTGATGGGTTCCCCACTGAGGCACCATCACAATACACCGAATCTCCTTCACCTGGGGGTTGTCTGGGGGGCTCACCCCATAGAGGTAGCCTGCAATCTGGGGGGGGGGACAGAGAGGCCGGGTCACCCGGGCACTCACAGCCAAGGGTCTTGGCAAAGGGAGAGGGGCCACACTGCACTCAGCTGAAATTCGTGGGATGTGTGGAGGGACAAAGACATCCGGGCTAGCACCTGCGCTCTTTGTGGCCCCCTCAGGCACAGCTCAGCCAAAGAGGCTCTGGGGCAAAGGTCAGTGGCCGTTTTGGCTTTCTCCTCCCTTTTCAAGAACCCACTCAAGTCGAAAACTTGATGCAGAAACAGAGATGAGCAAGATTCTTAGCGAAAACGGATCCCTGGCAGGCAACCCCAGAAGGCAAACGGGTGGCAGGGAGCACACCTGAGCTCGCAAGTCGGAGATGCAGATGAACTTCTTCAGGACGTTCTTGGGCAGGATGTAGGTGTAGCCGGTCTCTTTAATGTCGTCCGAGGAGACGTAGATGTGGTTGGTGCGCAAGTGCAGGTTGGCTGCAGAGATGGCCCTGGGGGAGGAAGCGAAGGGTGTCAAGCAGCACCTGAGGAGGAGGGCGGGGAGCCCTCCCTCCCTCCCTCCCGGCTTCCGCCACCCACCTGACCCGCCACTCGGTCTTGGAGGAGAAGGTCTGGGTCTCGTAGTTGCTGGTGGTAGAGGTGATGATCTCGTCGCCGTGCTTGTTGACCGTCCGCGTCTGGGTGGCTGTCAGCTGGCTCTGCTCCTTGGTCTGCTTCTCGATCTCCGCGATCTGCTGACGCTGCTGGGAGGGGGCTGAGATCTCCATGCCGAGGATGATGTCCCGGATCTCAGACTGGGTTAAGGAAGCCACATTCACACTGGCAAAGAGCGAGCAGGACAGGGCAGGTTAGCAAACGGAAGCCTTCAGAGCACTTCTGTCAGGGCTTTGGGGCGCTGGCAGATTCCCCCGGCCTCAACCTGGCGGGCAGGGCAGGCCCCTCCTCTGCACCAAGGGAGGTCAAGAGAGCCACCTGGCTACCTACCAATAGCACTTAGGCTTCTATACCGCTTCACAGTGCTTTCCAGCCCTCTCTAAGCAGTTTACAGATTCAGTCTATTGGCCCCAACAACCTGGGTCCTCATTTTACCGACCTCGGAAGGATGGAAGACTGAGTCAACCTTGAGCCGGTGAGATGTGAACTGCCAAACTGCAGCTAGCAGTCAGCTGAAGTAACCTGCAGTGCTGCACTCTAACCACTGCGCCACCTTGGCTCTCGACCTACTTGTTCTTCTTGCCATAGTCGGCCAAGATCAGGTCCTTCAGCTGCACCTCCACTTTGATCCACTCCTCATCGGTCAAGGTGGGCCAGATGTGGTGAGGCTCGGTGATGGTGGTCTTGTCTGGCTTCAGGATGACTTTGGCCCGATCGTTGTTGACATGCAGCGCCCGCAGGATGAGTATCAGGCGGGAAAAGGCCTGGGATGGGGGGAACGTGATTGGCATCCCACGCCCACCTGGCATCCAGGCACACTCAGCCCTTCAAGCGTGCCCGTGCCTGTGCCCGTGTGTGAATGGCAGGTGGCTCACCGTGTAGGAAGAGATGGTCTTCAGCCAGTCATCGTAAAGGTTGAAGAGGACCATCTGGGGTTCGGTTGCCTTCAAGATGAGGTCCCCAAACTTCTCTACCTTCAGGCAGGCCTGGAAGGGCAGCTGCAGCTCCGAGCCTTTGATCACGATGTTGGGGAAGTCCAGCAAGTGCACCTGTTGGGGGAGATTAGGGGTCCCACTGGTCATTGTCCAGAGCTCCAGGCTATGGCCACAAAGGGAGGAGGAGCCTCCTTCCCATCCTCCCTCTCCTCTCCTGCCCCTTGGCCTACCTCCAAAGGATCCAACATGCCCTTCCGGGTGACGATAATCTGCTTGGGCTGCTCCTCCACAGGCAGGGACCGGATCAGAGCCGCCACCTCCTCCGCCGTTTTCCACTTGGCCAGCTGGCAAGAGAGGAGGCCGCAAGGGCGTGAGGGGGCTTCCCTCCCTGCCCCAAGAGAAGAGGGCAATGGGGCTGGCCCAAGACCTCACCTGGCCCAAACGCTTTTGCCCAGCCCAGACGGAAGTGTGGATGATCTTCAAGAAGAGCTGCCCGGTCCGAGGGTTGAAGATGAAGATGGCCCCGTTGATTGGCTTCGTGGTCAAGTTCCCCTCGAAGGTCTGGAAAGAAGCTGCTGCTGATTAGGAGGCGCTCAGCCCCACCCCTGACCCCCGCTTGCCAGGGAGGGGGAGACCAGAGCCCCTCACCTTGTGGATGGTGACCCTGTAGACATTGGTGTCGTCCACAAACCAGATGATCTGGTTGGAGAAGAGCTCCCCGTAGTTCTGTGAGGACAGGTAGGGCTCGGTGGGCTCCGAGGAGTAAAGCTGCAGCCCCTTGCGGATCCGTTCCCTCAGCACATACAAGGCGGGGTTGGCTTTCATGATCTTGGCCATGGCCTGCTGGATCAGCGGCTTGCTTCCAGGGAACCAGTTCCCGTAGGCGCTGGGAGGAGGGTGGGGAACAGAATGAGTCCCTGAGGGCCAGACCTCCGCCCCCCCCTCCTCCACCAAGAGAACCTGGCTCATCTGGATGTGGCCCAAAAGTTCGACCACGTCACGCCCTGCTTTCTGTGGCTGATCCACCGAGCCTGCCGGATCCCTGCCCCCATCCTCACCTGTGCAGGTTGTAGGCCAGGTCAATGGCAATGAGGACCCCAGTGGGGGAGGGGTAGATGCTCATGTTGTCCGTCGTGTAGTCCAGGAACTTTGCCCGGGCGTAACGCTCGATGTCGTGTGAATCATAGTCTCCCCAACGCAGCTGGATGTCGATCCAGTACTTCTGGGTGGTGGTGCTGTCCATCACGTCCCTGAGCAGCAGCAGAGGAGGAGGAGGAGGAGGAGGAGGAGGAAGGGCAGGAGGCCATCAGCATGGGAAAAGCAGGCAGGAAGGGGGGGCTGGGGAGGAGCCCCCTTCTCCCACCTCCAAACCCAGTGGGCTTACTTGGAGTCTGCCAGCAGGGAAGGCCGGGAGACGTTCCACTTGTAAGAGGCGAAGAGGAGGATGTCTGCGCAGGAGGAGTTCATCTTATAGGACTTCCTGGGGTGGATGGTCTCTTTCTGCACCGTCTCAATCTCCAAGGCGTCCAGCTCCTGGTCAAACACCTGGAACCGGCGGAGAGGGAGGAAGGGGGGTTGGGAGCAAGTGGGGAGGGGGACCCAAACCCCTGGCGTGGAGGAGCTCGGCCACCTGGGGCTGCTTGTTGGGGGGCTGCAGGGAGCTGGGCTGGGGGAGAGCCAAAGGACCCTCACCTGGCAGAGGTCCATGACAATGCTTTCGTGGATCTTCTGCCACAAGTGAGCCCGGAAGATCTGGATCAGGGAGATCTTCAGCGTGGGGATTTTGCCGTGCATGAAGATGCCAGTCAGGTCCAGCTGTACCTGGAAACCCACGTACACCTGCCGGAGGGGAGGCAAGGGGGGTGAGGCCTCATGGAGCCTTAGCCCAGAGGCCCTCTTCACACTGACCCCCAAAGCCCTGCCAGCCCAATCCCAAAGGGCACCCCCACTGCACCAGATGGGAGCGTGACTCACGTTGGCCCT